AACGAAGTTCGGTTCGTGAAATCGACGTCTGTATCGTTGAAAAGCTAACGAAGCCGTAGAGAGGGCATCGAAGACTAACCGTTGACCGGGCCACTAATGACAAGTTAACGAGCAGTCGGAACGACGTGCACGCGCTCGTTAAACGCGTTGAAAATGTTAAAACTCCAGCTGGCAAATCTGGCGCCATTAAGCGTTCAACAGCCGAGCTTTTTTCCGCGGGGTTTTCGACGTCCAAATCACTGCGTCGAGCCTACCGAGTAACCAGCCACGTGCCAAAGCGGAAAAACTTTCAACCTAACGCGGTTATCGTAATTACTCAGGAGATTATTTGCGTTTCAAGCTAGAAATTTAATTACCATCGTTTACGAAATTTCGCAAATGTTCGAAAGAATTAACAGACGCCAGCGGTTGTGAGACATTGTGGTACTACTATTACTACTACGATATAGCTATTTTATAATCTGAAAAAATTGCTCGCTTTACGGGGCGGATTGATGAAAAAAACGACCGAGAACAATGTGTTAATATTCGACACGCTTTTGAACCGTGTAACCTTCTATCTTGAAACGAGTATCGTACGACAAGCCTATAAAATTAATCGATTCTTGTAGCAATTAGTCCTTCACGAGAAAGAATTCCACTACCGATCGCTACAATGTGGCAATACCTCTTCGGCAACGAAGCGTGACGAAGAACCAGTTACGGAACTGATCTCGACATAAAAACTATTCGGTACGCGCACCTGTAAACGAAGCTGCAAAGCAAACCTCGGGACGATAATCAACAAGCTGTGTCGGTAAAAAAGAAAAAAGAAAGATCAACGATGAAATATTCTGTAGAGAGCAAGGATTAAGAAACAATACAGATACAACGTGGCGGGCTTCACCGTGGCCGTGAACAATGGCTCCGCGGAGCCAGCTTATTATGCGGACCGGTTGCACAGACAGAGAATGCAACTGCAACTGCAACAACAACAGCAGCAACATTGTCAGCAATCGATCAGGTTCACGGTGCAGCCGAGTCACGTGGCTAACTCGGGGAAAGAGATCCTTGAGACACCGCGGAGAGACGATTTGGTTTACGTGCATTGTGCCACCACCGAGGATGAAGAGGAGGAAGAGGAACCGAAAGGATTAACCAGGTCCAGGTCGTGGCTCTGTTGCCCTAGTGATCGGAGCGGTGACAGGACTGTCCCTATACAGGTCGAGACTAATCACAGGGACAAACAGGAGTCAGTAAGTTCAAGTTTGCATTAGAATGTCTTAATGTTGTCAGTTATTGCTTGAATCGCTTATACATTCATTTCACACCGATCGATCGTTTCGATGAAATTAAAACTCAAGGCTGTAGCAATCAGCCGGAGTAGAGAGACCTCCTCCGAAGCATCAGATAATTTTCACGTTTATTCCAACATCGATTGGCGAGAAAAGCAACGGTAGGATGAGTGAGGCAAAAAGAGGAGGATGTTGATCGTTGATGCGAGAAAGGGTCGGGATTCGATGGGCGCGTCATCGAGCGAGCTAACGAAACGCGGAACAAGCCTTCGCCAGAGGCAGAGAGCATTCCGACACCCGATAATGGAGTTCCGTAATTTTTGCTGCTGTCGTATTCGATTCAAAAGCGTGGATACGCAGGGTGGTTCTGTCTATCAGGAACAGGACGATGTTTCTGTCCTTTCGGTTCGCTTTCTCTCCCTCTGCTTCGTCTCCATATTCATCCCTGAAACGTCTCGTTCATTTTTTATCCCTCTCTGGCCTTCTCTCGGGCCTTCTTCATGCGTCACGTTTAGATTGTCTTCCTCTCGTCTACCTCCCCCTGTCACCTCGGTCGCTTCCTCCTTTTCCTTGTTTGCGTCTCTCCCTTTCATCCCGTCGTTTCTCATCCCTCCCGTCTGTGTCTCCTCGTAAGTTCATGCAGAAATCGACTGCTACCCTTTAAACTTTAATCCGGCAGAAATAGAGCGACGGACGAGCTAACCAACCGGACCGATCGATTTCACCGAAGGAATTTCAAATAAACTTTCCGCCCACGCAATTTCCCGTTTGTCCTCGAACAACTCTGCCCGATTCTGTATCTCCCGGACGAGTCTTCGGGAAATGTCTCGTTTAAGGTCCTTCATTTTGGTTAACCCCTTGCGGTTCGTCTATCGGGCCAATTTATTAAGCGTTTCAATCTATTTTCGAAAATTTCATTGTTGCACAATGAGAGATGCTCTTTGGACGCGCGATGAAAGAAGAAGAAGAGATGCCATTTTACAGGCAACGTCCTCATCGTCGAGGTACAGAATAGAACGCGTGTCTGTGGGTTACCTCTTTTGTCCCAAAGCTGGGCCACAAAAGGACCGTTTGAAACGGTGTGCTCACCCCTCGACAGGTTCATCTTCGTTCAACGATCCCCTGGATCAAAACGAGCAAAGGCTCTGCCCTGCTCGCGTCCCTTTTCACCGCGATACAAAGAAAAGAAAAAAGGGTCACGACAGTCTGGTCAAGGAATTTACCAGCCAGAAAGGGACACCTACTTGACCCCTTTAACGGATTACCGGTCCACTCCATTTTTCCTCGAGAAAATCTTGTTACCAACTATCGGTTCCTGCCTGATCTCGTTACCAACTTGCTGGACCGAATTCTCGTCCATGGAAGAAACAAATTTCAGGATAAAGTTACATCGACGACGAAATTATCGTAGAAAACAAACGTGTGAATTTTCTCTAACCTATTTTCCTTAGAAATTCGTTTCCTACGCGTTTGCTTTTCTTTCTCCTCTTTTCGAAGACGAAATGGAACGTCTCGGACCGCCAATAGATGACTGGTTCTTCTTCCGGAGGATTCGAGTTTCGAAAGCAAACGAATGGAAGATTAAAAGGCAAACACGTGGAGAGAAAGGCGGTCGGTTTCGAGTGAAACTTTCGAGATTTCCAAGAAAAATACAAAAAGAGACAGAGATCGCGTAGGATGAACGCATTTAACCATGATTTTATTCAGATTAACGAAAGGACACGTCTCGTTTGCATAAATTTCACGTTTCGTGTGAAATGTGATCGAACAGAGGTTTCAGAATCTCTGTCCCTCGATAATCGTACGTTCCTTTTCATTTTTAAAGGGAACTAAGTAACCTGTATGATATATTTTACGGTGCATTCAAGTGCTCCATTTTCTCCACTTTCCAAGTAATTTCGCGTATCAAAGACAAGAACGAGCTCTCCCCGTTCTATCCGGTCAGGATATCGGGTACCTCGACTGTCGAGAAAGTCGATGCCCCTCTCGATCACCCTTGTCGTTGGCTTTACACCACTTCGCCGCAATTTCCGGTATCGCTTTACGAGCTGCGCACACCGTCTCGAACATATCGCAGACGAGAAATTCGGTCAAATTCGCATGACGCGTAGTTAAAGGAAATGAAAAACAAGCAACGTTGAACATGAGATTATTTTATTAAGAATAGAATAAGGATTACATCACGGGTCCTTACGGATTTCCGTCAACGTTCGCGCCAGTCGATGCACAAGGATGATGACCAGTGGCGTAGGTGTTGGCCACTTGTTTTTCGAACGACACTGCGACATTCAGCGTTTCCGGCCGCACGTGGGTACCGGCTTCGTGCCGCAAGTTCCAGCGTTGCAACGAGGAGGTGCCATCACGCAGGGTCTACCATCGGGGCACGGAGGAGCATCCTTGCAACTTTTACCTGGCAGATGGATGTAATCGTCGTTAGCTTGAGCCATGGTCGTCGAACAAAGCACCGCCAGGATAAACGCGAAAATCAACAGCTGCTTCATCTTTTCACTCTGAAACGATGACACGTGAATTTTCTAGGTGTCAAGTTCCTGAAAAATTATTTTCATGGAAAAACGTAAAACTATACCTAGTTTACCTGTCCGTCGGGTGTAAACTTTCGATCGGGCACGCACACGATCCTCTCGATATGGAACTCTCGAATGACGCTTCGTAATTACGTGTCAGGATTCTTATATACCGGTCCCCGTGTTTTTTCCCTTTCTCTCTTTATTCGCGAGTTATCACGTGGCCAGGAATCATTAGCGATCCGTCGTCTCGTAATGTCCGACACGCACGGTTGCCTCCGCGAAGGACACTCCGCAATGATACCGCGTAAACGCGTGTGTATCCTACGCATATTTTTCTCTCGGCGGCGCGAATGCGAGAAAATTAATGAGGACCCGTCGGTAATAAGGAGCACGATCCTCTCGGGACTTCCATTTACGGAAATGTCGCGAGCATCCGCTGGAAAACGGCATTTCGCTTGGCACAATCGAAAGAAACGGGGACAAAATTGCTTCGCCGAGGTTGTCGGCTGATTTTGAAACTTTTTATCCGCGCGGTTGAATAAATCTCAGCTTTCAGCGCATTCTTCAGATATGCACGAGAATTCTGAGTCTCGTTACTTGGGTCATCTTGTTGTTTTACCTTCAACGAGGCTAGATAAACTCGTACATAATCGTCCTTCGTACAAGTTACAATTATAAACTCGCTCTTCCTTTAATCAGAATTCTGCGTACATAGTTCAATGAAAACCAGAAATTTGTTGACGCGACAGTGAAGGTTAATCAGAAATCCTTCCTTCAAACTGTAATCAGACAACGATTCTTATCCTAAGCTGGACGGTTCCAGCCTTGGCCAAGACAGGTTACGTCATGGAATGAATCCAAAGCGTAGAAGATTCTGAATCAGAGTGATACTGACGCTTCCGTCACCTTGCCCGCGGCGGTGAATTTCATCTCGAGCAAGTTTCGCGAATCCTGCGCTTCCTACTCGAGCAATATCGTCGGTATATTCTGAAAGCAAGAGATATAGTTTACACCCGGAAGCCTCGGACAATCTTAGACGCGAGAACCGAGGCACAAAGGGCTGAGAATTATGAAACGATCGGTAAACTTAACGTCAAGTCTCGAGAGATGAAACAGCTCGAACAAAGAACGTGTCCAGGTGGATATTTAACTGCAAATTGTATCTCGATCAACGATCAAATGACATCTTTTGTTTCAGCTTCACGCTGCCGCACTGTCCTCGCTGCGATCAGAGGTGGCCGAGCTGAACTCGAGGCTGGTGGCTGCGACTCGCGCGAGGGAAGCCGCCGAAGCTGCTTTGGTCCGAGCCGAGGTGCAAGCTGCAAGAGCGGAACAGAGGGCAGAGCAACAAGCGGCAAGGCACGAGGAGAGACTGACCGAGTTGCATTCCGTGATCGCAGAGCTAGGAAGACAGCTCGAGAGACATCGGGCTACCGTAATTGCCGAGGAAGATGAGTCTGGTAAGAGAAAACAAACCGATTCCACAAATCTCCTCTTCTCAGAGATCCGCTGCTTCCTTTTCCCGGGTGATTTATGGACCGAGACGATTTGATTTCATGCTTTAACCCTTTGCGCAAGTACTTATCTCTTGCTAGTATACAGGGTGTTTCAATTAACTTGGAAAATTTAAAATAAAACATGACTTATTTTGCTATTTAAAGAAATAGAAACGAGTAGAGACGCGGAAGGTTCCATCACGAATCCAGTCGAAGAGAGCGAAGCAGGAGGTGACATTCAGGGCGATGGAGATCGCACCTTGGGCGATGTCGATTCCAGCTGTTGCGAGGATATCGAACCGCGTACTACAGAGGTAATTTTGTTCCGAGCTTCTCAAGTGGATTTTTATATCAAGTTCTAAAAGTAACCATGTTGAATTATACTCTGACAGAATGGCAGAGAACAGTTGGACAGTCCAGCGGCACTACCAACTCCAGAACCAGCGCAACAGGCGAATTCCTGTCAAAGCGTCGCTGTGGCAGCGTTACAGGAAGAGGTGACAGCCCTTCGAACGGAAATTGCAAGCTTACAATCTCAGCTGGCTACTTTTAAGAACCAAAGTAGCAATCACAGGCAACATACTGACAGTGACTCGCCACGTAGAGAAACTAGGGTGGGTAGCAACTTATAAATCGTTATTGTTTGGTAAAAAAAAAAATTGCTTTCCCTTTTCTAAAAACAGGTTTTCGTTATGTAGAAAGAAACCGTTATTTTCATCTGGATGCATCTGAAATGCATTCCTTGGTGCATTCTCTGTGACTGAACGAATTTTTGCTCGTTCACCCTGACGGTGGTGGCCACCCTTTGATCAGCCGACACTTTCACGAAAAATATTTATCAAAACCCTTCCGACGTAATGTTTCCTGGTGCTCCTTTGATTTTCACAGACAAGAGGCAACACCAGCTCACCGGAACCTTTGAGTGCACCTTGCTCGCCACTCTTGCCACCCCTGCAGACACCGCCGACAAAGAGCGTAACGAGGGAGGAAGCTCCGGTTCTTAAAATGGCCGAGAGGGTGAGACTCAGGAGGACGGACGAGAGGCACATCACAGGACCCGATATTACCAACCTGGGAGTACGTTATCGCCCCTGTTGTACATGCTTTCACTTCGACAAATCTACACGATTAATAGATTCTAGATTCTAGGTCCTAAATTCTTAGAATCTAAATTCTAGATCTAATGCTACAGCAATCTTTCCAACTCAACTATCCAATTGTACCTCCAACTGTTCACTCATGTTCATTAGGTGTGCTCCACGATGGTGGCCGAGCACCTGGTGTCGGATCTCCTGGAGCACTCGAATCTTCAAGAACTGAACGGGTCCGAGAAACAATTCGAGGTCGAAACAGAAAGGTTGAACAGTAGGTTGGAACACGCTCGAGCAAATAATGCGGTGCTTGCATTGACCTTGCACGAAAGCAAAGCACAATGCGATAGGTATACAACTCTTTTAGGTCCTAAGATACATGTATACGAAACATGACTGTTTTATCCTTTCGTTTTAGATTGAGTCTTCTAGTTGGAAAGTACGAGTCGAACGCGACCGCCTTACGCTTAGCGCTTTCCTATAGCGATCGTGCGATTGAAGCTTACGATGTTCTGGTAGCACTGCTAGAAAGTGAAATTGCTTTATCGACAGAGAGAAACAGCATTACGATTGATAATAGAAGGGCAGCTGAACATATTGCTTATCACGTTTTGAACAAGTTGGAGAACGAACGTATGAATACCCTGAATTCTCCATGGGATGACAGTATAGTTTTGTCAGACGAGTGAGTACAGCGTGTGACTTATAAGAAACTAGGAAATTTACGAATACTTTGATCGTTCTTGGTTTCTAGATCTGAAGTAGCTTGGACCGTTGAAGATGAACAGAGACTCAGAAGACACATTAGCAGATTGAAAGGAGAACGGGCTATGGTCAGATCAACTGCGGTAGAATTAGAAAGCGTACACGCTGAACCCCTAAACTCTAAAAACACTATCTCCCTCGCTGAAGCTCGAAAATTAGATTTAGAAACTGCCGTTCTTATGCAGGTTCGTTCGCGTTATTTTAGTTGATGTTTCCAGTTCCAAGGATAAATGTAATTGGCTTAATGTAATCGCGTAGGAATTGATGGCTATGCGAGAAGATAAGGCAGAGTTACGGGCACGGGTTTTCTTATTGGAGAAGGAACGAGCTACTATAGAATTAAAATTAAACGCGCGCGACACGCAAATCGCGGCTCAGCATGCTGCCATTGAACATCTTCAGGGTCAACTCAGTGATACCGAAGCCATGCTGGCAATGGCTACAAATAAAGTACGAATAGGATGATGTTTAAAATGCAGAATATTCTTTATGTAGTAAACGTAAATTGTATGTGTAGGATCGAGGCTTGAGCGATAACGAGAGCGAAGGCATGGAATCGGAATTAATAGAGGCGTTAGGTCGAGAAGCTAGGCTTAAGGAACGTTTACAGGAGCTGGTATCAACGTTGGATAAAGTTAACAAAAACTCTGAATTAAGGCATCAACAGTCCGCTGAACTCGTTAACGATTTGAAAAGAGCCAATGGGTAATTTAATTGTGGATAAAAAAGAATTGCTTCAAGATTGATTCCAAAGTTCTTTCATAATTTTATTGCCTGTTTCCAGAGCTCTGGTGCAAACTTTAGAGAAATCTAAGAAAAAATATCAGTCCAGGTTAAAAAAGTTGGAACAGCAAATGCTAGGCATGGTAGAGAGGCATGCTGCACAGGTATGAATAATGTGTATAAATGTGATGTCTGATATAAAGGGTATTAAAAATAATTACTAGAATTATTTAATATACCTTTGTACAACTTAATTTATTATAGTTTTTTACATTCTTGTATATATATTTTACATTTCTAATTATATTTTTTTAATTATTTATATCGTTCAAAGACCTGTAACAGTAAAGTTATCTTTACCTATTAGAACAATGAAAAATTAGGCTGCAATATGCTGTCATGTTATTAAAAGTTCACGAGCTTACAAATTTAAGTATTAGCGATTAATTATTCGACATTTTCAGCAGATTTCATTTTTATCTGTTGTAATCTTTCTTCAACTGCTTCTTCTACTCGTCTTCTCTTGTACGTATTATAAAAGTTAACCTCTCCAACCTTCCAATGAATCATAGTAAACTCCAGCAAGGCACCCATTACAAAGAAAATTGGTAAAAGTCGAAATTCCCCAAGAGCCTTCCCAGGCATATTCATAATCAATTTTCTTATTTTTTTGTTGAACAATATTGAATTCGTCATGATCAAGCCGGTTTTCCTCGGGCAGTTCAACTAGCTACTAGTCGCCATGTTGCTTTATAGCAGTAAGTTGCGTACGCATTCGCGCAGTCGCAAGTTTGAAATTCAAAACAAAGTTGCTTGTGACAATGATTATTTTAATTATTTGTTAATTTATAGGTGAAAACACTAAAGCAACGAATAGCATTATTAGAAGAGGAATCGGCTGGATACAGAACGAGTCTACCGCTTCAATCACAAAGTTCTGGCGCCAGTGAGACGTCGTTATGACAACTCAGTGATTAATGAATATGATTTAACACCTGTTCGACAAGTATTTTTACTACCCTTCCTGTCGTTACAGAATGATCGAAATGAAAATAAAATTTACGTATTTTTTTACATGGATAGTTGCCCAAGGATAATGCTTAATTATTCGCTTTTGTAATTATACAAAAAAAAACACAAATTAGTGTAGCTATCCTAATCAATTTCAAGCTAGGCTTATGCAAAATGCGCTGCCGATACATCAATGCAAGTAAACTATTTAAGATGGTCCTCCAAGTATACTGTGAATTATAAATAATTGTTGCGTGATATATGTCATTTATAGATGGTGATAATCATCCTGTAAATATGTATATTTCAAGCATTAAAGAAAAGCGTGATATGTGTAAACTATAATAAAATAAATTGTGCTTTATTAAATCTGCTACTAAATAATAAGATGTACATTGTAAATTATTACGTAATTTATTAATTGTATACTAATGCTGGCATTAGTTCAGGTCTTTTTTTCTAATTCTACAGAATTTTGAACTTTATTATTTACAAAACTGCACACTTTATTTACATTACATCATGTTTATCAGTTAGTACATTCTGATCTTCGGATAATCTTGCTTTTAATGCCTCTTCTATAAGATGATCCAAATCGTCGAGTGGTTTGTATATGTTGTGCACAATTTGCGAACCTGCCGCCATTGATACTATTGATAGTGTGGCGAAAGACAAAAATCGAAACCATGATTTACCATATGGCATTGTAACAATTATTTATTTTCACAAGTATAAATGTAACTTGAATTTTTGCATTAATTTTCGACGCACCCCTAGTGTCAATTGACTTTGGATGTGGTCCTCGGTCTTAACCTCTTTAACCTTCAAATGGTTGCACTATTTCAACCCTAGGAGCAGAATTGCCGACTATATTCCATAATAAATTATTCTGCAGATTATGTATTTATTGGTTCTATAAATGTTTAGATGTTTAACAACTTTTTTTGAACAATAATCACCACCTTTTTTTATCTTCGTTACCGGTGATCTTTTTGACTGTATGTACGAACCCTAGTCAATAGTTTGTTCATCTGAAGTGGACAGTAAGGAATATCTCAAAGATTAGGGAAGGATAGACATATTTTAAAATCAATTTTAAATACACTTAATATATTTAAATAATAATATAAAACACTGTTATTTATAACTGTACATAATTTTAATCTTATTTTGTGTTCTTTAAGGTTCTTGATTTTCTTGTTGCTCTTGTAGATCCATTTCTGATGCCATGACCTCTGTAGCATTTTTCCCTGGAATATCTGGTTCTTCCTCTCCTGGTATATCACTAATCTCTAGCCCTTCACCTTTGTTTATCATAGATTTCTGTATTTCTTCCTCTAAATGAACACATGCTTGTTCAATTTCATAATTTTTTGATACTAATCCAACCCATTGGGCTTCTAATGCTCTCAGTTTTTCTCCTCCTTGAGTTTGCATAGATTTTCTTTGCCAATTAACTTCCTGAATCTTTTTTCTCAATGCTTGTAATTGCTTCTGAGCTTGACTTACTAGTTGCACCAATATTTCTAAGTAAGATTTCCATGCCTCACATCCATAATCCATCATTAGTTCAAGATTACAGATTCTAAAATAGTATTTTTATATGGAATATAGTGAGATCAAATGTAAATACTATATAACAATATGAAAGAACCACCTATTAAGATTATATACCTAGTTGCCTGGTGTTCCAATTGAGCACTACTGTTTTCCACACTTTCATTCCATGCAGCAAGATCATTCATTTTTCCTGGTGGAGGTGGAGGTAGCTCGTACCGTTTCATACTGAGTACTTCCATTGGCAAACGATTTTGCATTCTCTCAAATTCATGTTTCATTACTTCTGTTTCAAAAGCATTTATATTTAATGGTGGCAAGTGTTCTAAATAATTTTTCGTTGGCCTATAACGACGCGTTTCTTCTTCAACCATTGCCAGAGCCTAAAACATTTATTAGGGGAGATGAATATTATATTTATTTACTTAATGTTAATATAAACATACATAATATAACCTCGAAATATTCTTCCCCGAGTTATTATACAAAAACTATTTACCGCTTCTCTAACTCCAGGTTCATCATAGCCCTGATCAATGTACGGAAGTGCATCAACAATAACTTCTCCTGCCATTTAGGAAAATAAATACTTTTCCCAACGTTAAAATTTGTCAACAATAATGGTTCAACTATATTCAAATCTTATTGCATTTCCTGTTAAAACCCACTTTTCATTACCAAGAATATTTCTGCTGTAACTACCAATACCCACACGCAGTTTCCTATAGAACTATGTTACCATTGGTGCTTGATGACAAACCCATACAATTTTTAAGATTTATCTTTTGTTACAACAATATTTGATTATTATAATTGTAAGCAGTGATAAAACATTATTTTTTTAGAAAGTATTTAATTTATTGCATGGTAATTATATTTATAAAGGTCAAATGAAGAATGACTGTGAATGGTGGTTAAGAAATAATGGATTCTGAGCATGCGTAATGGTTTACTGTGTAACTTCCGTTTGCGTCCATCTTCCTTTACGGCCAGGTAAGGCGTGTGAGCTGCCTGGTTAGTTTATATCTGATGCCCGAAAAGTTGTAAAATAGACGCGAAATGGTAAGAAATATTACAATTCATTTAGAATTCATTACTGTTTTGTATTTAATGTATTCGCGTTATTAAAGTGTCCTTCGATTTACAAGAATTTCATATTGAATAGTGGACCGCATCCATCGCATAGTTGACCACGTGTAATAATTTGTAACATAATGTAGTTTTGTTTGGAACTTGTTGATCTATAATTTTATGCATCAAATAGTTTTTGTTTTTTATTATATTAATTATAATTACATTGATATAATATCTATTTGTATATAGTTATATATATAGAAATATTTGCAAGAGTATGATGATTTCAATGTGCTAATACGCCATGTGCCATTCCAATAGGAACCATCTTTGAACGTATCAGAACATAAAGTTTACTTTAATTTGTAATAATTGAGCTTATTGTTACCAAATGTTAAACAGGCGTATATTTTAACATTTTTTCTTCTTTTACAGGCGTTATCAACGGCGCGACCCCTTGTTACGGTTTATACCGATAAAAATGAGACGTCGGGCGAAACAATTTCTCTGCCGGCTGTGTTCAAAGCACCAATTCGGCCCGATATTGTGAATTTCGTTCACCAACAAGTTTCAAAGAATAGTAGACAACCATATTGTGTGTCTAAAGAGGCTGGTAAATATGAATTCATTTATTATTTAACTCAAGAATCAAATACTTTGACAAATTTTATGTTCTGTTCCTTATTTTTGTTAAAGAACTAATGTTAGAATTATTAAATATAGGTTTCTTTTGTTAGGTCATCAAACCTCTGCTGAATCATGGGGAACAGGACGTGCTGTAGCACGTATTCCGCGTGTTCGCGGTGGTGGTACTCACCGCTCTGGTCAGGGTGCGTTTGGTAACATGTGTAGAGGAGGACGCATGTTTGCCCCAACCAAGCCATGGAGACGTTGGCACCGCAAAATTAATGTTAACCAGAAAAGATATGCTCTGGTTTCCTCTATTGCTGCATCCGGTGTTCCAGCTCTTGTACAATCTAAAGGTAATTAACATGATATGAAGATAATCAAGTAACTGATAAAGTATGACAATGATGATAGGTATGGTCCGTGTTGCTGATTTAACATTGATTATATTAATTCCATTCTGCTGAGGGTTCCATAGTCATTACTTGTTTTATATTGCCCTTTGAATAAATCCATAGTTACCTTTATTTTTTTGTTACATTCAGGTCACATGGTACAAGAGGTTCCAGAATTCCCTTTGGTAGTATCAGACAAAATTCAAGAGTACAGTAAAACTAAGCAAGCTGTTATCTTTTTGAGACGTATCAAAGCATGGAATGATATCCAAAAGGTAAATGTGCTTCTATCTTCATTATGCACCGTTAAATGTCCGCATCTTTATTATGATCACTTTAATTTAGATGCTCCTAATTAGGTGCTAAATAAACATGGTTATTTTGGCGTTCTTGACTAGCAGACTGTTAGACAGGGGTAAAACTAACCAAACAATTGATTAATACATTAATGGATTAGAAAATAATTTCTTTCTTTTGATCATAGGTATACAAATCCCAACGTTTCCGTGCTGGCAAGGGTAAAATGCGTAACCGTAGACGTATTCAGCGTCGAGGACCTTTGATCGTATACGGTCAAGATCAGGTATACGACAGTCTAACAAGTTACCTTATCGAATTTCGTAACGACTTTGCTTATTTTTATTTGTAAACTGTTCGTAGGGCATTCGCAAGGCGTTCCGTAACATTCCCGGTATCGATCTTATGAATATCAATAAGATGAATCTTTTAAAATTAGCACCTGGTGGTCACATCGGTCGTTTCGTAATCTGGACAAAGTCTGCCTTCGAGAAACTTGATGCTCTGTACGGAACATGGCGTAAGGAATCCCAGCTGAAAGCTGATTACAACTTACCTTTCCCCAAAATGGCAAACACAGATTTGGCAAGACTTTTGAAAGCTGACGAAATCCGTAAGGTTTTGAGAGCACCAAGGTATGTGAACCTGTTATATTATTATAAACAATGCGTTATGCAACTTGTGTATGATGATAATTTTTGGTCCGTGTTACTGACTGACAGTGATAATATCCTTAACCATATCTGATGCCTTCCTTTCATAAATGTTTTGGAATTGTTTTATTAGCCACATGTGCATTGGAGATAAATTTTATAATTGTAGGAAGAAGGTGGTCCGCAGTGTGAAGAAACTGAACCCGTTGACCAATACCCGTGCGATGTTGCGTCTGAATCCATATGCCGCTGTTCTGAAACGCGCAGCAATCCTGACCGCAAGGAAACGTCAACACGAGAAAGAACTTATTCTGGCCGAGAAGCGTGGAGTAAGTTCCAGTTCCAATATTTAATAATACTCGTTTTATATAATATCTGACGAAACATTTTTTCTGTACAGCTGAAGCTTCCAAAGTCTGTACCAGCTGTAAAGACCAAGCTGCTGTTAGAAAGACGTAGGAAACAAATATTAGCTGCAAAAGCAGCTAAACCTAAGAAGACAAAACCCGTGAAGAAGGCAACAACCGCTACCGCGGCTAAGCCTGAAAAAGTGACAAAACCAACTGAAAAAGCCGCAGGGAAACCTGCGGCATCAAAAGCTGCACCCGTAAAGAAGTAACTTTTTACCAACAATTCGTTGTTGACCCATGACGTTTATTTGTTTTGAATAAATATGGGAAGACAACAGAGGATGATAGTTTTGTAATTGATCTTTAAACTATATTTCCTACCTTCGATATGATATTAATAATTTGTAATAATAAGAATACATAACGTTATGTATGTTTCTTTTTAAGCGGTGCCCGCATAAAAATTGTATCATTAAAAATTTCAATCGAGACTTTCTTCGCGTTTGCTTCGGACGGTATTAAAAAGTTAAGGTTCCTTATGTGCGACCAATCCTCTGCGCTATGCAATTTTATATTCAACATATTTTCAGTTACTAAAGTGGCAGTTCCTACTTTCAATCCTTCGATCTTGATCTCCGCCTGCAAGTACACGTTAATCCTATTGTTACCAAACTTTTCCAAATGCCACTGAATTTCATGAAATTTTACTAAATCGTGAAGTACGTGCAGCGTAAAGTTCTTTATTTTCGATGGTGTAGAAATTAGGAACCCTGTCAAATTTCAAGCTCGCCTTAATTCCATTGGACATCATTTCAAAATTCATGTAATCATTTTGCTTTAAGGTGATTGCGTTTTCTTGGCAGTGAGGCGGTAGCTTATCCATAGTGATCAGTCTAAACGAAAATATTGGAGTCTCCTGTCAGGAATCATTTTTTCACGAGTCAACTGGATGAACTTATTCGGAACCAGCTTCGCACGATCATCTTTTGTTCTATCGAGTTTGAAAACTTCGACTGCTAAATGGCTTCATGTAAGAACCATGATTAAAAAAAGCAACATTTCAACTTTTCTCAATATATTTCTTTCTCATTTTACTAGGTTTCATTGCAGGTGCCGTAAGCACGAGCATTCTGTTCTTATTGTCCACCACCGCACGAACTTTCGCGCTATCGATATCATCCGGTATAAGCAAGTTCTCGCAGTGCTTCATTATCTTTTTAATGATATCACCAGCGTTCGATTTATCGATGATCCCTGGCAAATGACTAGTGAACTGATCGTTAAATGGCCTGCACACGTTTACCCGCAGATTATTTCCTTTTACGGTTATTTTGATGGAAGACATATCCACCTCCGGCGACAGCAGCATTCGTGCCTGCAATTTAATGGATTACACACACCATTGATTGTAGTAATCGTTCATTAACCCCTTGCTTTATGATCACAGCTAATATCAGAGTGCTTAATTGGTACAAAAATCGTAAGGCAAGGGGTTAATTAACAAGCCAGGATCCACCTCATAAACGTTGTCCGATCGAACACCAATTGAAACAATCTGCATTACATAGCCGCAGTCAAGCGGTCTTGCAATTCTCTCGGTCACTGGTTTACCAGAGTGTACCACTAAAGGATTCGGTTTTCTGACAAACTGAAAGGAAGTTGCACATTTTGGACAGTGTGCCGATTCCATTGTCGCGTTTTCATTGCTCTTTAACTGATTTCTCTTTACGTTCATTTTTCAGACGATTCGAACATGCACCATGTCATCGCAGAAAGAAACACGTGGTGATCGAGCGCTCTATCTTCGAAGGGTGCAACAACGGCCACGAAAGGTTTACTTGTCAATTTGGAAAGTGTGCTAGGAGGAGTGACAATTGAAAATCAGTTGAAAACAAAGTAACGAGCATGTTCGATATTGCACGATCTAAATAGCTTTGTGCGAGGAGGTAATATTTTTTAATTGAATAATTTGCAATCAATGCTCCTTACTTACCAATTCAACCGTACTGTTTTGGAGCATCGAGAATCTCATTACAATTTCATTATTATTTGATTGTTATAAAGATACTCATAAAAATTCTTGTTAATAATCGAGGCATTAATTAAAAATTTTTATAACGCAGTGGTGGTGTTGAGAAGAGTCGAGTGTGAAGATGTATGAGAGAGGATCATCTAAATACAACCGGCAGTTTGTTTAACATTCGTGTCTGCATTGTTTGAAACGCCTGCGCGAATTTCCTTTGGAAGAGACGCGTTGGTAGGGGTAGCGCGGGATTCAGGGTCGAAATTGCACGGTGGTTGAAAAGCATCGGACATCAGTCGAGGACAGGCGGTCTCGCGTTTAAGTGGTATATCAATTCCATGTCGCCTTTGGTCCTGTTCTTTCATTGCGGAGTTTTGGCCATTATTTTCGGGAACGGTAAGTCCGCTTTTGCTAGATTTCTTTTTTAACCCTTTACTTCCCAAGCGCACCCCTTTCAGTACAAGTTTAATTAAGTATCGCTTCGTTGAGTTATCGTTAATTTTTGTCAAGTTAAAAAGTTTTAATGAAAAGAAAACTTCAAATGAGTTCCCATGTTTTATGTTATTTTTATTCTCGAAGAACTTGCTGTGATGATGATTACGTTGAAGGAACCGCGAAGAGGGTTAAATCTATTCAACCACCGATTTGTTTTTCAAATTAGATGAATTATTAAATATCTGAAATGTATTCAGTTCATTTTAAGAGTTTTTCCAAGTGAATCACATTAGTAGACATTAAATCGTTCTTGTTCATTAATTTCATTTAAAAAGATGTTTTGTTTGGTAACCGAATTAAACCGCTTTCAATAATTTAACTTCATAAATACATAAACAATCGCTACTTAATTAATGGGCAATTCATAAATTAATTCCTGGTTTTCTTTCATTAAAACTGCTATTTAATTATGTTTCAATACAAATGGAAAACAAATTATACATCTAGTTAATTGATTTTAATTCTCTCATCGGCTATGCGATCTTATTTAACAAGATTACAAGTTTCTCCCCTGATTAAATCTCTCCCCAACAGGGAAATACAAAAACTCGTTAAAGGAAAACGTCTTCTGTTTCCTTTCGTTTCATTTTTGCCGTGTTATAAAAATACGATGTAATCATTTCCGTTTTGCATGCGAGATTGAATCTCGATAACAGATCTGACGAAGGCGGCAAGGAAAATGTTGATTAAGAACGGCTCGTCTAGTGATTAAGGGCAATTTCTTCTGTCTGTTCGATAAATGGATTGCTCGTTCGACAGGATTTCCCGAGTTGGAATTTCATGAAGTTCGATAGAGTTGTAAATCAATTTCTTCGAATATTTTCACCCCCGTTACTCCGAGAACTTCACTAGAAACTCGATGATTTCTATTCTTTTTTTTATAGCGCATATGCTTACAAATTCATCGAAATTTGTATTGAAGAGGGAGAAGGAAAAAAAGTTTTCAAGATTGAAAAGTTTCACTGTTCGAGACAGGTGGATCGAAACGTTCCATTTTCCGCTTGGATTTTTCCTCCTGACAAACTTTGAAACACATTCTTCAAACATGATTTCCATGTTCGGTTAGAGAGCGCACGGTTGTTGACGAAATAAAGGAAACGTATTCTCGTTAGCATGCAAATAACGAGTGGAGGAGTTCGAAGGAGAAGATAATTTGCCGACTGCCTTAACTTCTTTCCTCCACAACAAATAATTTGGAGATAAGGATATGTTTCGAGAGATTCTTGTTCACATTGAAATGATCTTTTTTTTTTATCTACTTATATAAATTCAAAATTTAATATTTTAAAGGCAACGTTCTAAGAAATATTTATTTTTTCTCTAGTTAATGAAAAAAGTGTCGAAACGGAAGCGACAGAATCTTCTTGCGTATAAATTCGAAATAGTCAGGAAACATGGCAACAAAGAGGAAAGGGAGAGGAGAGGGAAGAGCGGAAACCCGATAAAGCTTGGACACTCCACGATTCTGTTTGATACCACGCGAGCCTGGAGTGTCCATGAATTACCGTGCAAATCCAGGATGCAACGTTGGAAAGCTCTGCATCGATACGATCCTACAAAACGTGGAAAATGTACAACGCGAAGCTCTTCATTCTTGCGAAGCACCAGCCAGCCGACTCTTTTATCCCTACTGACTGGGAGGGAGAGCTATCGAAAAAGCTCTTCAACCGCGAAATAGACTCGCAGGTTTCCTCGTTGCTACGCTAAATCGAAGTCGAATTTGTAACGAGATGCTGCGTGAAACGAAAATCCTTCGAGGAACCGCGGTTCGTACGAAACGACATCCTTATTCCCGTTTCTTTTCAATATTTCGCCCCTACGCTTCCGTTAAATTTTGTTGAAAAGCCTTTGAGCTCGTTGCACGCAGGAAAAGAATCGCGAATCTTTTTTAAATATTTCAAGAATCGTCTAAAGAGTCGCACGGTACAATGCACGTTTTATTCTAATATATTAAGAAAAGTATGATTCGATCTTCGATCAGTAATTACATTGGTGGCGAGGTAAACAAACCGATCGATCTGCGAGTCGCTTGGCGAATTTCTACGGGTGGCGAGTATGCAAATTTCGACGATGTTCCGATCGCGAATTAGTGGCGAGAGGAGTGAAACGGCTCTTCGCCGCGTCGTTTACACGAAAGGCCAATGCAAACGTTTAATAACGAACTTCGCCAACTGTCTTTGCTGAAGATCGAAGGGGAATAACTGTGTCGAGGTGACAAGAATCTGTGCGACGATCGATTTTCGGGAAATATAAAATTTAAATTCTGGACGATTATTGTACACGGGTAGATTTTAATGCCAAGGGAAAGGATAACGAATGCCTTCAAACGTATTCAAACAATGATACTGCTATTCCATTGTTCGATGAGATAATAAGTTAATACGCTTTGTTGTATTTTGCAGTCGAAATTCTCTTCCTGCGTGCACTGTATGAAAAGCGGAATACGCTGCTTCGTGTAAACACTGGAGGATAATGAAAAAATACAGAAATTTTGCACGCTGAAAAATACACACACCGATCGTTTTGAAAGGGTGAATTTATGACGTAGAGTTACACTGAATAGAATTTTTTGGTGAACGAGGAAGTAAGAGTTTTACCGTTTCCTCTTTCACGAAAATATTCATTAAATAAACAAATTCCTGGTTGAAAAATCACTCGTTAGATGGTTAAATGTCACTGAAATGTTATTCTAAATGTGTTCCCCTCGGCGTGATCAGTTTCGCTATTAATTATCGATATTTACAAAACACGTAGAGTTCTCAAAGATAGCGAAATTTGCCTGCTAAGAATAGAGCCCTTTAGTTTCCGCTTGATTAGCTGATAAATTCGCCTCTTTTACCAAGCCACATTGAAACACGACAAAACAATGCTTTTAAATAAGTGTTTTCTGACAGACCGTCGAATCTGTCCGCTTGTAAATCAGCAACTTTTTCCGATAACTCTCTTTTTTCCGGGGAGAGGATATCGGAATCAGTTGTAAGGTTGCCTGTTAAACGATTCAGAAAAGTGAAACGCCTCCACGTATGGAGGTGGCTAGCTATATCACCATCTGACGTAGATTTAACGATCGGAATTAAAAGGGTTGGAGGAAAGATTTTGTGGACCATTTTCATTCTGACCTTGGTACATATGAATTTTTTATAATGTCTTCATCTTGAAGCTTTTGAAAGCTTTTTTATCAGAGTACACAATCAACCTTCGCCCAACATTCTCGTGCAAGCGTTTCATTAGAAGATCAAAGGACACTTCTAACTTTAATCAACCAATCCCACAACCATCGAATACTTTTTCTTCTCAACCAGTAAGACTCATTGTCTCAGCCGAGAGATGCTTTATTTAATTGAGGTTTGACGACAACGCTTGGTTAGCTTTGAGAAAAGACAGAATCGAAGGAAGATTAGTCGAAGGATGGGTTCCCTCGCGTTTCGAGACACAATACCCACTTCTGTGGGACGAACGCTTCCATCTATAGACAACGCCATTTGATGTAATAAAAGGAATTACATTTGCCATTAGAGAAAATGGGACGGAATTGAAACCCGATCCCAAACGATTATACGATTAAATTTGATGTTTCACGATGATGTTTCATGATGTTTCAGGTTTGGGAGATGAACACGAATACAGACTGACGAAGTATCTGCTCGATGGATACGACGCTGGTGTTCGACCAGCTAAAAATTCTTCACAACCCTTGGCAGTCGTCTTTGGACTTTCTCTTCATCATATAATCGATGTGGTGAGTATTCGGTGAATCAAAAGTTCCTACTGTGTTTTCATATTACATCCGTGAGAAATGATCCTTTCGTTAGGAATATACAGGAGATAAATGTTTGAAATTTCTCATAAAGTTCATGTATATTCGTCTAAGTCATTTGTCTTAAGTATTTTCAGTTACCACGCCTTTCTACCATGGGAATCTTGTTTCTCTTTCGATCCAGCTACCTGTCAGCGTCGACAGTTCTCAGGGAAATGGAAATAAATGTATCGTAATATAAATATAAATCGATATTTCCTGGGGTAAACGTTACCGTATCAAGCAGCAACGATACTTCCCTCGAAGTTAATGCAGGTCCAACCAGGCTTGACCCGGATTTCATGCTTGCTATAACTCGTCAAAAGAACACGTAACGAGATCCTTATAAAACAACCAGCAATTTGCTGTTTCGTGCGAGTTTTTACAATCATGTACAGATTATTTACCGTGTACGAATAGCGGATCATTTCATAAATGTTCTTTTTATCCCGAATACATCTTGACATACTGTAGGAATTCTAGAAATAGTTTAACCCTACGATCTCTGTTCCAAATACTTGTAGAAGGTACTTTAACTATTTGAAAGCTACAACCTTGTTTAACACCGTGCCAGCATTTCTTTTAACGCATTAAAGTATTAAAGAACGGTCCTTATATTTACCGAAGCGTGCTTCTAAGAGTTGCAATATGGTATTCTTTATCGCACGAACATCAAAGAAAATTTATGAGAAAATCGTTCGAGTTCCGTGTTTTATAGAAAACTTTATTCATTCATCGTTGTAGCAGAAGGATTTTACAAACGACTGCGTTTGAATGAATTCGAAGAGGAAGGTGGTCGTTGGTAATAGAAGGAAAAGATTTTACTTTGATTTCCATTGCAGGACGAGAAGAACCAGATACTCACGACGAACTGTTGGGTGACACAGGTCTGGACGGACCACCATTTGAAATGGAACGCTTCGGAATTTGCTGGAATTCGAGTGATTCGTGTACCATACAATCGTGTTTGGAGACCGGACACGATTCTCTACAACAAGTAAGTTACGATTTTTCACGTGAAAAATATCCGTATGAAAATTATTCTCTGTTTAATTCTGTGCCATGTTATAATTATCAAGAATATTTCTGCTCCATATCTTTCCTCTCTGCAGACACACATACACACACTTGCTCAAAATATTATAAAACAGAACATTTCGTATTGATTGACTGCAGCAGAGCGGTGCTGATTTCTTTTCTCCGATATCAGAGCATGTACCATTGAATGTTGTTTCCAGTGCGGATCCCCAATACAGCTCGGCGGTTATCAATACGAACGTGATCGTCAGCCACACGGGAGAAGTAGTCTGGCTAAGTCATGGAATTTTTCGCAGCAGCTGCGACATAGACGTGGAGTTTTTCCCCTTCGATGAACAACGCTGCGTCCTGAAATGGGCCTCTTGGACCTACGATGGATACCAGGTAAACTTAAATTTTCCCTTATTCATTCTATAAAAACATAGCGATTTTTATTGTAGACTTATATTTTTGCACGAATCCTTTCACTACGGTGGCGTCAGGACGAGAAACGAGGCGATTCCATAGAACCTTGTGAATTTCAACAGACCTATAGAAGATGCATGCAGTTTTCCGCGCAATTAACTCGATCGAAATCGTTGGTGACATCCGCCGGGAACATCGTTCAATACGTTCCAACCCTCTGCATTCCTCGCACAAATGGTTTATTTAAATCATCATCGATTCGAAAATTACTCTGCTATTTTTTTCTTTCTTTCTCCGGGTTAAATGCCGCACTAATGAGCTCGTTACAAGTTCAAATTGATGTATAGATTCGACTTTCATGGAACAATCTCGTATGCAAATTTGAGTGTAAGAGTTGGTATAGTTATTTAACGAACAACTCCGGTTACGCGATTTAATAGGAACACCATATTGCAATCCACATCAAGTTGGATGATCCTTCTCTATATTGCCCTCAATTTCACGCAGTTCCTCTCACGGTACGATATGCAAACGAGAAAGTGGTATATCGGTTGAAGGACCATCTAGCGGAGGATAAAAAATATTGGTTTGACCGAAACCTTGAAACTTAACACTTTGCCAACCACCTGAATCGCCTAACGCTCGATAACATGTACAGTAATGCTTCGAAATAAGCAAGTGGTCTCTGCTTCGAAATAAGCAAGTCGCTATCCCCTCTTCTTTGTTTGAAGTCGCCCGCAAAGTGAGAGGTACGAGAAACGAGTGAGAGGTCCATGAAAGCGCGAAGCCGATGTTTAGGGTAATAAATTTCACGCTCGACTGAGCGGTGACATCGGTTAGTAGAAGAAGGACGGAATATATATAATGCTTTCTCAGTCCGGTATATTTGCTTCGAAATAAAGCATAGTGCGAGAATGAGAGGGCATGTTATATTCTATCCTTGTCCAAAAAATAACATTGCTGCTCGGCCGATCACTTTATGATTTGCCGCTACCTCGGATCTCTCACTCGTTTCTCGCGTTCTCTATCGTCCCGTTTCGAGAACAAAGTCAAGCCGAATAGCTACCTGCTTCGAAATAAGCAACTGTTCGGTCCCGAGCCACTTGCTTATTTCGAAGCATTACTGTATTGACTTAACCCTTTTGCGGTAGCGATCGATAATTGATCGTTGTAACTTCTAAGTACAAGTAATTGCAAGTATCATCGATCCCTTCAGTGTTAGTCTTTCACTGAAATTTATCGATCAGGTTTAAATTAATAAGTTTCCTTGGAAGTTATCAATCGTAAAAGAGATACAGGAAGCTCGTTCCCTTTTATTTCCAGAAAAATTAAATTTGCCATTCGATCCGATATCCTTATATTGTGTCTGGCCTCTTAGTAAAAATCTGGACGTTTTGGGGCTTCCTCGGGATTAAGAGTTCGTTCTTTCGGTGCATGGAACTCTGTCGAATTGTTATATGCTGTCCCAGCGTTTCTCAACCATTTTTGGCCCGCGGACCGGTGAAATTTGTGAAAAAATTTTACTAGGTATTAAAGAACTATACTACATAAGTTTAAAGTTTTATAAATTAAAATTTTATTATTTTTTTGAAATAAGAAAATTTTTTAACACGGTCAGGTAAAAATTCTCCGCGGACGAGTGTTTGAGAATAGGGTGTCCGGAATAAGATGCACACCTGAAAATTCCTCATAGAGAAGTCCTTTATCATTTTACAACATAGAAGTTTGTTCTTGAGCTACGAGCAGCTTAACATTGGGTGTTCGACTTCCGGAGCGGTGTGTTTAAACATTTGGGCAGATTCTGTTCCGGCCCGAATTCGTGTAACTTATGTTCCAAGAAGTTGGCAAAGTTCGCCGTGCGTGTCGCGAGTTCCGGAATAACATTGATACGAAATGTACGTGGGCGACGATTAATTCGAAAACTTGGCACCCGTATATTACACGTTTCCGCGTGAGAACAGGAGTTGGAACTGCGCTTTGTAATCTCGTTCCTTAGACAATAATCAGAGAGCAACGTTCGTGTTGTAGGAATTATTTTTAAGCAAACACGTGTCAAACTGATCATGAACAAAGGTGAGACCGGCACTGTGTTGTTAGTATTACTTCACGTGTAATGTCTATTGCAACGAGAATTTTCCTTTTCCCGTCGCGTCGAATACGGTTTCCGTGTCGCTTCGTTTTCCCTGTCCGACAGCTGTCCGCTAACGTGTCCGAAGATTCAACGAAACGCGCTGACACGTAATCGCGTTTCGTTTCACCGGATTTAATTCGAAGCGACGCTTCAACACCCTTAATTCTTGATTTCTTTCGTCTGTACGCGTGTCAAATGGTTTAACGCGTCAGCGCACGTTCGGTTAATCTTCTCTTTTACTAATTACTCTGCGACACGTTCGCTACGGGTCGAGGCGGGCAAAGTCGAAACACGAAGCGTACAGAAACTTGCGTTTCCGCGAAGGATTTCTCTAAATTGAACTAACCCATTGTTGAAGGAGAGACGTTAAGTGCGAAATATGTTGCACAGCTCGAACTGGAGAGGCAGAGCGAACAAGGAGACGTGAGCAATTACCAAGCGAACGGTGAATTCGACTTGGTCGATTTCTCCGCGAGAAGGAACGTCGAGTACTATTCATGCTGTCCGGAACCGTATCCAGACATCACCTACGAGATACGTCTAAGACGTCGACCGATGTTCTACGTCTTCAATTTGATTCTTCCATGTATACTCATCAACGGCGTTGGTGAGTCTCCTGTCCGTACTATCCTCTAAAAGAATTTTAATACCAATTTCCCCTCGAAGGATTACAATCACTTTCAGTAAGAGGGTCCAAGTGTCCTTATCGTGTCTGGTGCAGGAAATTTCATTAAAACCTTTGGGAATCATAAAAAGGCGCTCTAACAAGGACCACCCTGTGCATCGCGATATTCTCCTTGAAGGATATATTCTAAGGAAACGTCCTCGATTAAACCTGCTTGACAAAGAGAGGCTCGAGTTTAACGCGTTCGATGGAAAAAGATTTATGCGAAAGTTTCTTCGACCTCCTTGTTGACATGACTCGAAAGTTTTCGTGCTCTGGTCCAAGAATCCCTTCTCTTCGATATTCTAAGAGAAGTTTGTTCCTTTTTTATTTTTTTTTCTAACATGACCTGTTCTCCGTTTGTTCAGCCCTGTTGGTATTCTACGTGCCCTCGGAATCGGGAGAGAAAGTCACCCTCGGGATCTCGGCTCTTCTCTCTATGACGGTCTTCCTAATGACTATTCGCGAGACACTGCCGCCCACGGAGAAGACACCTCTGATAAGTGAGTATCTTTATTAACCCCTTATTAAGGATAATTTGTGAAACGAACGAAATACCTGTGTTGTATATCGACTTTCCTCAACGTCTTCGCTATCAGACTTTAGAAGCAGGTCATCGCAGTGTGCCGTAGCGTTTAAGCGTTCACGACCTACCCCTGATATTCCCTGATGGGAATATTTAGTATCGACAATGGAGTATGCGATATCGCGTGATGGGACATTTAACGTTGACGATCGTTAACACTCGGTATCGAGTGATCCAGACGATGAACAATGATTACGACACTTTATTTTACTAACATGATAATTTTAAAGACAGCGAATTTGCATTGTTAACGTATAAATTTATATTGTTAGGATATCGTTTAAGAAATCCGAGATCGTTATTTATCTCCTTCGAGACGTGAAATTCTACCCTTCGCGATTGTTTTATTTCCATCGTTTGTTAAAGGAATAAAGGGTTTCCTTTTTCCTAAACGAGAAGGAGGATATCTTTGTTTGCATCCCTGTTGGTACTGTCCCTTCAAAGTATAATTTAAAAAGAAATTGATACAAAATTCCGTGTGAAACTCGGGGATATTTCATAGTGCTTGCAGCATCAATGGTGTAACCGCGTTGATTGAAAATTCCCAGGTGTCCCGTTTGAAAGTCCTCGGATACCAATGTGAAACGCGGTGGAATCGCGTTTAGCCCGTGGCAAAAGCGTCCTATACCATCTCAGCTGAGCGTATTCCGTGAGAAACTCTAATTGGAAGCGTGGTAGACGATTAATTTATCTAAACAACAATGGAATATTTCGTAAACCTTCAATTAACTACATTCAATGGTTCGTTTCTACCAGTCGCACGATTATCAATTAACTTGATCGTTCTGTTTTCAGGTCTTTATTACGGAGTCAGCATTTGCTTGGTGTCTTTCGCTTCGGGATTAGCCGTGGTTACGTTAAATCTTCATCATCGCGGCGTTCGAGGTAGCAGAGTACCCGGTATCGTACGATCTTTGGTCTTGGACAAACTTGCCAGGATAGTGTTCCTGAATTTCCAAGAGGAGAAGAGATCGGTAAAGTTTCTGAACATACTTAACACAAAATCTGATGTTCCATAGCGAAGACTTTGATCAACTAGGACGAAATTAATATACGAAAGCTGTACTTAAACTTAAGATACACGATATGGACTCTTATAGTTTGTGGCTTTTAGCTGTAAGCCATGGTTATTTCCTTCACAGTATCAGCTTATGAACGATGTATTTTGCATTAGGAACCAGTCGAGCCACCCCGAAGAAAGAACAACTGCCCGTTGCATTGTAAACCGGAAGTAGCACAGTCACAGTCATCCCCGAAGTTTGTTACCAGAAGGGAGGAAAGCAACAGTAGCAGTCCTAGTTTGGGTGAGTTTCGAGCTGCTGCTAGAACAATGAACTGGAAAAAATCAACGACTGGTGCAGATCTAGGAAAAGAAGGTGGCCTCGAAGCTCAATGGTCGAGAGTCCTGGGAAGAGTACACGCGACGATCGAGAGGAACGAGAAACGATTGGCAGAGCAAGATCGTCGGGAAAGGATGGAATTGGATTGGAAACAGGTCGCTTTGGTCAGCGATCGAGCACTTCTATGCATTTTTTTTCTCACAACGATCGTCAGCACCACCGTCATCCTTTGCGGCTCACCACCTACTACGAACATCGCCAAAGAATAATGTTCATGACACGAGAATAACTTTGTTTCGAATCAGAATCGATTGGTTTTTTCTCCAATCTTTAGTAAGGTATTACGTTTACTTTTTTTCTTTTTTTAATTTACTTTCAGAAACGATTCTGGTAGCTCTCTTCCTTTTTTATACAATAAAAGAGTTAATTCATTGAAACGTCTGTAAATATACGTGTGTCGAACGATGTTGAATCGATTAGCTATAAGTATCTTAAAAATAAGATGTATAGCATTTGTTTAACAGAGATATACTGGTATGGAAATAAACTCTCTGTTTGTTTAATGATGATATTCATTTATTAACTATAGGACGGAAATGTAGAAATTCTTAATACATAAATGCATAGTTTTAATAGTAATCAGGTACTGGTGCACAAGCTATTTTCACAAAATCTTCGTATTTAACGTGTCCGTTTGGAGACACGTTGGCTTCTCTAAAAATCTGCTCCACTGCAAAATAAGTAGAAATTAGTTGTTTATTGAAAATAGCTTATCAGTTGTTAGAACAAACCTTCTTTGCTGCTCAATTGTTCCCCCCAATGGAGCAACATATGAGCCAGTTGTCTAGCAGGTATAGTGCCAGTCCTAAACTTATCTGCAGCTTGAAAAGCTTCTATTACTTCTTTAGGAAGGTCTTCTGCTCTAGTTTGTAGATGCATTACTTCTAAGAAATCAGCAAAAGACATTTTCCCTCCTAAAAATAAGAATCTTTAGCTTTAAAAACTTTATCTTCTTATTGATCACTTAATCTTATTCGTACCTTTATCCTTCAGGTATTTATTTAGCTCTGCAATAGTGGGACTCAAACCTAGTGATCGCATAATGATTGTAAGTTCGTCCAAAGTTCGTATCTGACCGCTTCTTGCAAACAAGTAGAAGCATTCTCTGAATTCTGAAGGATAATACACATTTCTGTTATAAAATATAACTGGATAGTACCATAACCAGAATAATCAACCCACGTACCGTCTATATCTTCCTCTCGAAAATAACGAGCCTACAATGGAAAGCAATTATATATGAATCTGATATTTTCATAGGTAATGTAGCAATAGTTACCATAATTAATAATCTTTTACAAGACTTTTGTCAGAATTTCTTGTTTTCACTGTTCGTTTACGTGTCAGACAACGTTATTCAAGGGTAGAGCTAGGTTCATTCTGACATTTTACCTAACTACACCTGATTTCTTTTCATTGTACAGAGGCGACGCCTTCGGATGCAACTCGTACTAATCGTGGTAATCCGTTACCACTTGCGATCGATCGATCTTCATTTGAATTTCACATAAAAATTCATCTTCTTTTGATAGTTCTAGTGATCTCACAGTGAGAGCAAATCCCTTTTGTTAATAATCTGTATCCTATGTAAACAAGCAATGTGTATGTATATCCTTGTTTTGCTTTTCTTACTGTCTGTAATTCTTTATCTAGGAAACAAGGGAGGAAAATGCAGAAAAACAAAAAGCGAGTCGCTCAGTCAATGGAATTATCACCACCAGCGTGGCCATCATCACCAGGAAAGAAAAAAGGAGAAGATAGGATGTTTTATGAACTAAACGTCACTTAGTTATGAAAGAGGTGACAAGATTGGGGGGTTAAATAAGCCACCTGGAGGGGTCTTTCACGGAGGGGCCCCTTCTCCGCCAAACAACCCCACTTCGACGGTATCACATCGCTAGTTTTCTTGCATTTACCTCCGTCTACGGATGGGGCTAAACCTTCTGTAAACATGAACAAGAAAGATTCTAAATTCATGGAGCCAAAAGGTACTATTACACTTTGATTTCACAAAAATTGATAAAAAGATATATGCTAATTTAGATAATTAATTCTTAGGTACACAGAGTCTTCTTAAACAACTACAATTGATTTGAACGAATGCTGTATAAATATGCAAGGAAGTATTTAAAAAAAAAAGCTGCTATATAAACGAAGGAATTAATGGTAATCAGTTAAAATACATTTCCATCTAACATTAGTAGAAAGAGCTGAGCAATCGTAAACCCTTCGATCGCCCTTCTGTTTCAGAAACGCAGCTTTCCTTTGACCGACGGCTAAGGTCAAGTTACAGGAAGGTGGGAGTTCGGGATAGGACGAGCAAGGAGGGGTGACAGGATGGTCGGGTTGGTGGTATAGCGTGCCACTATTGGAAAGCGTTGGTCCGCGTCCAGACATGGAAGGGATCCTTCGAATGGAAAGAGAACGCGCTATCAGGTAGATAAGAACAGGTAGAGGAGAAGTTGGATAGCTGGTCGGAGGGAAAGAGGGCGCAGCACAGCTGGGTCGAACGGCGCGGATGGTAGGGGAAGTCGTTGTCCTCGGAGTCTTCGTTCGCGCGAGTCACGAGTATTCCCGTCAGTACAACGCGGAACGCGTTCTCGTTGGTATCGTTCGGGTGAAAGTTGTGCATCGCGTGCTTTTCTCCTGCTCCTCTTTCGTTCTCTGTCTCCTATCTCTGTTCACGAAATTTCTTTGTTCATCCAGGGAGAGAGGTAGAGCACGTTAAGCGGTCGTTGCTGTGTGACACGCGTGTGGGTGCCCTGTGTGTAGTTGGTGCGTGGTGCGACAGGATGCGGTACAATGACCGTAAATGAGTAATCGACGACCCTGCCAGAACCGGTCGGAAGGACGAGGATCCTGGCAGAAAGGACGCCCGTGGCAGGACTCTCGAGCCGCTGTGCATAGGTAGGTGTCGGATAGGATGCGAAGAACAGCGAGCACGCGCAATATTCTACGTGCAAGTCTCTCCCTTGTCTCTCTCTCTCTCTTCGTTACTTCTCGCGCGACCAAGCACCGTCATTTTTTTTTCTCTCCTGCACGTCTACTCCTGCGTTTCTCTTTCTCTCCTTGTACCTTCCCCCGCACACATAGCTGTCGAAGGGAATGTAAGTCGCCTGAGAACGATACCAGATTTCTCTCGTGATCGAGTCACCTTAGCCTTAGATACACACCTTCGATTGCCGCGAGATTCGGCCGGATCCGCGTCGATTCCCGCGATCTTGTTGTTTTTCTATAGCAGTTTGTTTACGTCGGATTGGACGCGCATTATGGGGGATTTAAATGTCATGTTAAACGCGTCTGCAACGCCACGGGGACCACGAGTGACGGAAGTGGTTTCTTTGGACGCTGACATTTCGAGGGAACGCACGCGGATCAAGGGGTGCAACGATAGGTTACCGAGGATCTTCGTTTTCTTTTCTCTCTCGATAAATTTATTATTGCAAAGTTTTATAAATGAATGAGATAAGGATATAGGTGTATACGGAGTAAGAGAAAGGAAGGGAGTCAAAGGAGTCGGGATTACTTGTGCGGTAAATTGCAAAAGTTCTAGCGAGACTTTAATCGTCGTTTAATGGCAAAAGCGAGCGTTAAACGCGACTACCGGATATCGGGTTGGCGCATGTAACGAGCGTTGCATAAGGATGCTTATCTGCGTGAAAGTTATATCAAAAAATAGCTCAGGTAGTCGGTTAGTAGCTCGAAATTATTATTGTTCAACGCTCAATGGTTCTTAAGGAAAATTTCCCCCCGGTGAACACAAAGGGAACTGTTAAGACCCCTTCAAGTTGTTAGACAGGAAAGTTAGGCGCGCAATTTACCTAATCTTCTAAGATGTCTAACCGCGTAATCAACTTAACGCTTCCAATATCGTCCGATAGCTTAACAATTTATCTCGTTAATTAAACAATCAGTGCCACGGTAACGATCGTCGTCTACGGAAAATTATGCAAGCTAGAATCGAACAATCCTTGAACTTGGTAAAATCGATCCAATAGTTTAATTCACCGGATCGATTTAACGACACTAATCACTGGCGGCCTGGAAATTAATAATCCCCCGAAACTCGATGGAATTTCATTCCCCTCTCCATCGTAGTTTAACGTAACAATAGAGATCCCGTTTGGTAATCGCCTTAAGCCAGAGATTAATAATCGTTGCACGTACGCGACCCATCTCCTCCGATCGAGCAGCTCGAATTTTCGGTCGAAAGTTTTCGACGTTGGCTGGCCTCTCGACGACGAGGAGGAGGAGGACGACGACGTCCAGGGTAATTGCTTTACAAGTTGCGCCGACGAACGTTTAGGACATTACACGAAACGTGTTTCGCCGGCTGCGTTACGAGGTAACGGTTCAGCGAGACTCGCTCGATGGAAAATCGGTTCGATGCTCTCCTCCTCCTCCTCGTTGAATACGATCGTTGATCCATCCAAAGAATACTATACCATCGTGCTTGCTATATTTTCCTGCGGTTTTCCGTCGATCTCTTTTATACTGTATTACGTTTCGCTCGAATTCGAGAGAGCATCGATGAAATTTCACTCGACGGAAATGGGAAATGGACAGCGGACCACGAGATTTCGCGTGCATACAGCCTGATCGACCTCGGTCACGGCTCGCCAAACCTACGCTTCAAGCTGCTTTTAGGAACCATTAACGCTTCTTTATGGTTCCTGGTTGATGTTTCGTTACGAGTTATTTTGTGGGTTTTTCAGGAACGTTTTACCGAACTGACATGCCTGAAGAGATTTGCAAATACCATGATGCTAGTCTATATTTATGGAAAAAAGAATTCAGAATTTTTTAGGTACACTGGTGGAATTAATTCTGAACACTTTGAACAAAAAATATTCTTTATTTCATATTTGTGCAGATAATATATTCTGTATTCTAAATGTTTATACTTAATATTTTCACATGATTTGGTTTGTGATTGTTTTAAAATTTTAATTTAAAAAAATCTAAACTGTATTGTTATTTTTGTTTTTCCGCCTGGCAACACGAAACGTCGCATGGTGTGAAATTGCCAATCACAGGATGAAAGGATATTCAATGAAATATTAATTTTTTTTCTACCTCCTTTGATGTATTGAAATTGTAATTTTTATTGTATATTAAAAGTATGGCTGTAAATGGTCTTTTTACTGATTTTTTTATATAAGCGATGGCCTAAAATTAGAAAACATTGATTAGAATATAAAATATAAATGAAATAATTTAAATAAACGTGAAATTTAAGTGTCCAGAAATAGTTCCACTAAATCACTAAACAGAGTGAAAAATTACAAATTCTTTATTTTCTCATCGAATACATCTTGATTTTTTTTTTATTATTATGTTACAGTGGTTAGTGATCGCAAATTTTGCCTACTGTCAGGATACCTCAGAAATCGATCATCCAATTTTAAGTCGCTTAGGCCTGAAAAACTGAGTTATAGATTTACCAGGATCTCCTTCGAACGCATATGTGAAGGTTCATCGTCCCGAAAGGATAAAATATTTCGTCTGGCCAGATCGGAGCGCACAGTCGTCGCGTGTTCGCATTGCATCCTGCTCGTCGTTTCATTGTTCTTTCGCGGAGGCGTGTATCGCGCGTTGCACATCGTGGAAAGAGGACAAAGGCGTATCGCGGTTTTACGTGGGACGATTATCATTCGTGGATCGTCGAGCGAGCGGTGCGCGCCAGACAATTTTGCAAATTGTCGCCGCGGAGACGTAGCTTGAATTCGTTTCTTTCCTTTTTACCTTTTTTTATACCTTTCTCCTCTTCGTAGCCATTTGTTTCCCCGCAAGACGTGCGCACCGTTTCGATAAACCGTGTTTTAAGGGAGGTGTTAAGTCGGAAGAGAGGATTGTTAAGCCCTCAAATCGTAGTATAAAAAATTGAAACGACTACTTAGCTCACTAAATGGCAAAGCGAAATACTCTACGATTTTCCATTCAATGGTTATCAGAGAAAAGCGTGCCTTATCTAACCCTGTCGGCTCGTACAGAGAATTCATAATGGGGAACCCTAAAGGAAACACCGTGCTATAGTGAGAAAATCGTGTTTCCTTTGACCCGAGCCCCGAAAACGTGTATACCGTGACCCGTGGAAACTGTTTCAGTACTTAGAAAATATCCCACGAGCGTGTAGGACTAGTATAGCGCACCAGGGACCCCTCCAAGTATACACTCTCCGACTTCCTGCGAACTCGCTCACACGTGACACGCATACCTCAACGTTACAATGCGCATTTCCTTTTTCATTTTTATAATTGCCAACATTTTTTCTCTCTCTCTCTCTCTCTGTGCTTTTTCTAATCGAAAGTTGGCCGATATATTATGCGCGATCTTTTACCGTTGCAAGAACGGTAAAAATCGAAGCGGTAGCGCGGAGAAATTAGACGAGGCGTGTAACTCGTGAATCGGCTTTCCGTTTCTACGAGTTACAACGCGGCCAAATCAGTGATCAAAGTCAGTCTAGCGTACCATCTTCGTCGCGATACGAAGGTAAAATAATTTACCGGCGAGCGTGAAGATTTACCATGCTTCTATCCTTCACACTACATTGTTTTCGATGATTAATAAGATATGCGCATCGCGTTATAACATCGTGGAAGACTGCAACCCGTTATTCCGTGGTCGCCGGGACGTTAGAAACGCGGAGATAGACGTCGATTCGTGTATAAAATTTGAATATCATTTTTTTCCACGGCTCCTGGCGGAAGTTTAACGCGACGACCGGCGAATAGAGTAAATTCTGCGGTGCGTAAAACGTTTCGTGTAACGCCGTTATCACGCATGAAAAGCTTCCACGTTTTTCAAGCTTCGAAATCGTCCAGTACTCTGTAACGATCAACTTTGTCCATCGTGAAAAGCTCTTTGAGTTTATGTTATTGCCGAACGTCGCGCGGAAAAACATGTTAGCTTTTGCAGGAACAACGACGCCTGTGCGTGCGTATAGATCCTTTATTTTCTTTTTTCTATTCAAACACGCTTGGAAAAGTTACAACCCTGACACCGATAACATCACCATTCCCATCCCGTGAACGATCAATCTTTCTAATCTAATTTACCCTCGTGACAGAAGAGACACTCCTATAACAAAGATCCCAAACACAGCCGAAAGCCGAAAGTATCAAAAGTCTCGTCAGGGAAAGCCTATTTCTAAATTAATTCAATCCCTGATCGTTCTTTTTTTTCCCTCAGGAGGCGCATCGATCGATCGTGAGGACGAAAGAAGAGTCGATCAACGAAGGTAGCTAGGACCTGGTGAAGAAATAAAAAGAAAGGAAAGGTTGAAAGCGAAGGAGGGTCGAAAGGTTGAGCGACCTACGAAGAAGAGAAAGAGGACGTGGCGGAAGCACGTTCGTTGGAGGAGGAAGAGGAAGATAAGGAAGAAGGAGAGGGTGGAGGAAAGAAAAAGAGAGATGAGCCTGGCGGGTGACTCGCAAAGTGTGGTGGTCGGTTGTTCGACGAAAGGCAGATAGCGCCATTAGTTGTTGCTGGGCCGAAGAACATCGAGCCGATGCGTGCTACGGCCCTGACCGTCGACGAAGAAGGGGAAGAGGAGGAGGAGGAGGAGGAGGCGGATAAGGGTAGCATAGGGCACAACGGGGTCCAAAGGGCCGCGATGTACCCCTTGAAGCTGACCAAACCTCATCCCCGACTCGGAACTAGCCTGATTTTCTTCGCGGTATTCAATTTTCTTTTAATCGCAGCCATCGCCTCGCCTCTTCATCCCGCGCCACCTCATGCAGGTGAGTTTAATTAATATTTTATGAAATTTCATTTCACCCATCCCAACAGAGGTGAGTCACGTTCGATTCCAAACGTTTGCGTCGGATTCACCCACCCTATTCCAGTGGCAACCCTTAATTTTTCACTCCATTTAACCCACCATTCGACGCCTTTCGAGCCGAAGGAAAGGCTGTCACGAGATTTCAATTTCCTACCCCTTTTTTCACTGTTTTCACGGTTGTCTTGCGAATGTAATTAACGCGTTGGTTTTTAAACGTAAGTAGGACACAGTCGCTTACATCTGGCCCTACTGAAAGAACTGTTTACTAAGGTTGCTCTTTGAGTAGATTCAGCTTGCAAGAAATTCCGTGAAAGAAATTCCGCAGATACGACGAGAGGTTTTATACGCTCGCAATTCTACCGTGATTCAGTCGTGTTTTTTTGCAGGCAACGGTGAACGTTGCTGTTTAACGCGTTGATTGCCACAGTAGAAACGCTGGCAGGTAGTACGGTACATTGTAAGGATAATTATTTAGGCCATCGTTTAACGCGATGCAATGTATATATCAATATCTAAAATTACTAATTTTTTTCTAACACCATCAATAAATTGAAAAAGCTCATTTACAGCTCATTACATTTTACCGACAACCGCTTGGTAAAAATTGTTAGGTCTCTCGAGGTCTTTGTTACGCCTTTGTAAATATAAAGGGTACCCACCTGTTTATACTAAATAAATAAATTACACGACTAATTATTAACAATACCAAAGCGAGCAATTGCAAATTGCAATTTGGTTTCGGGTCGATGCGAGAGCATACCAGATAAGGCTCCATTGCATACGCCATGGGCTACGATAGAAAATCCGATACAAAGTATCCGTTCGAGGGTGGTCGTGTTCTAACCCGCCGCGGGCCGAGGCATCGATAACGAGCCACGATAATTAGATTATTGGCCACTGTTGCGTAAGCTACAAGCCTCGTGAAGTGGTAGAAGAACGCCACGAGGTGACGTTAAACTTCATTCTTCCAGGGATTTACAGTGGGTGATCAAATTATTAGAGCCATGGTATGAAAAATGGGTTTTTCGTGTTTGTGTAGAAATAGAGCCACAATTTTCAAGTTTTTACGGATAAATTTTCGAATGGCCCTCTCAAAATTGAGAACTCAGGTTCGGTATATAATCTAAATTGACTACAAGAAACCGATTAAAGTTGATTTCATAGTTGGATGTCTTACCGTTTTTGAGATATCGTGGTAAGAAATTTTTGTACAATTTTGGGACTACGTATGCGCTATTCGATACTGAGCATGCGCTATTCAATACTGAGCATGCGCTATTCGATACTGAGCATGCGCTATTCGATAACCTAACCTTACCACGAGATCTCGAAAACGGTAAGACATCCAGCTCTGAAACCAACTTTAATCGGTTTCTTGTAGTCAATTTAGAACGAACCTGAGATCTCAATTTTCGGGGGCCATTCGGAAACAGCCGTTTTTATAATGTGTAATTTTTAATCAATAACTCTCCACTATTAATATACAAAAAAATACTATATGTTTCCACAAATCTTCGATGGAGTTGAGGTCCAGAGAATTTTCACTTTTTTCAACTGTGTATCATAACTTTACAATCATGTTTAACTCGGTTTTCATTTAAGAATTAATGATTTTTATGTAAAATCATCAATTTATGTAAGTGGCTCTAATTTGTAGATGAATCTTTATAAAGTATAAATGATCTATGAGAGAATGTTCGATTTGAAACGTGTCGCGTTCAAAAAGCTGTCCCGTTCCATCGGAATAAGTATCGCGAAATCGTAGTGGTATCCTTGTGGCGGTGAAAGTCCTGGCCCATGATCCGCTCAGCTCCGAATTTTGCAAGATCCTTAGAATCGCTTACAATAGTTTCTCTTTTGTCGTTCGGATCTGTTAAAAGGCCGCGAATCGAGAGGAACTTCGGAGGTTCGCGTGAAACGTGTCATATTATTCGAGTACTATTCTCGGTGGATGAGTAGTTTTCTACCTTCGACCGATTCAAGGATATGTAACGCAGACGATTCGAATAAATAAATTGAAAGATAGCGACTTTTTTGGTCGTATGAAATAATCGCAATTGGTGATTACGTAGCGGCGATGATCGAATGCTGGCATGGTAAATGCAGCCATTCCTAGTCGAACGCATGGTACTGGAAGTAAAGGTTCCCCGTTTCTTTTCTACCTGCCAGCTAATGGAACGGTGTTTCCGTGATTGTGTTTCAGGTATCACACATGCCTCGTACATCGGTTATTATGAGGTAGCCTCTTATGATACCGCAGCCTTGAGACAACATCGTAACCGGATGCGTCGCGATCTATCCGACGTGGTCGACAATCAACCTCTGCTGCTGCACCTGAAAGCACTGGACAGGTAAGTTTATTTATTTATTTATTTGTTAATAAAGCGGGATTAATCCTTTTGATACAAAATTTAACAAAAATAATTTTAAAACAAAAATCTTCGTGCCTATTAGATAATACTTGGTGGCAGCGTCATACAGAAATCTGGTATAACAGCAATAAATTAAGCAGAACATAGTTATTCGGAAACATAAGCAATGCTAACGCAAGGTACTCTTCATGGCATCTCTTACAAGGGACATTACCCAATCGACATTGAGTATGATATAGAACTCAAAAAAATATTTGACACGTATTTTTTTTTATCGGCAATCGTCCATGCTGAAGGGGTGAAAACAGCCCTCAAAGTTGGGGTTGCAAAACATATTTTCTTGAATATCTCAGGAACTATTAGGTGTAGGCGAAAAATTCAAAATGGAATTTGTGTGTTTTTGAACAGCAAATATTTCTATGTAGCCACCTTTTTGATAAATTTATTTGTTTAAAAAATATATTGAAAAATAATCTATTTTTGTCATTTTTTTCACCCCTTCACCATGGACGATTGCCGATAAAAAAAAAATACGTGTCAAATATTTTTTTGAGTTCTATATCATACTAAAAGGGCATCAAAATCGGCGCCTTTCGATTGGGTAATGTCCCTTGTTAGGGCAAAAGTGGATCTTGAGAAGTTATCACAATAATTTTCTTCTTCTTCCAAAGGAGAAGATTTTGATCGTTCGTGAAACTTTCAACGATCCTATTCGTCGCACTTTCGCCTATCGATCGGTTAGGTCAATAGGCATAGATCCAATTAAGGTCAAGTTCGTGTAGATTCTATAGAATTGTGTGTAACGTATGCGAGTGTGTTACACGTGGACGTAACGGCAAAGGGTGTAGATACGCGTTAGTAGATTAACAGAGTTAGCTGTGGATACTTGGCGCTATATCAAGCCGGGAAACAAAGCTATCCTGACATTTGAAAGCGATACGACCGCGTAGATAATACAATTCCCTCTCTCTGTTTCCACGAAATTACGTTATATTTGCTTTCCAGTATTTCCCTTAAATGAAATTAATTACACGACCGGACGATATAAATGTTCCACGTGCAAAGCGAACGGCGACGACTGGTTCAACAATTTATAATTGCTGTTTCCGTTTAGAAGGAAAAGCGAATATAACTCGTGAACTTTCGTACCTTCGACGAAATATCAGCGAGCAATTAAATATTCAATTATCGAACAATCGCACTCCATTTACGTTGGATTCGCATTAAACTTTTTCAATCGACGAAATTTTTAATTGCTTTCTATCTCGGATAAAAAGGAATTCGTTAAACTTCAAATGAAACTTTTTGTATTTTTTATTTCGTCGCTGCCCGATCGAAACGGAAACAAGCTTTTATAAAAACGTGACCTAACGTTACTAGACTAATGAACCGATGGATCGACGCTTCGATCGAAGGGTTTGCGGTTGTTTGTCATGGTTTCGAATCGATCAATCCGGCCGCTAAGTCAACCACGTTACTCCACGATTCGAGACAGCTAATTAATAGCATTTCGTATCTTCGATTAATTCCAATAGCATTCGTAAGAAGCGATTACATATATTCTATTCTATGCGAAATTGAAATGAAAATTCGAAGCGAACCTTACCTGTCGTGAATTCGATCCGTTTTCGGGCCCCACCCAACCTGGTCGACACCTTTCTAAGTATCGATGTGTGCACAAGTTTCGCATAACGCGCGTGCCAGAGATTCATCGTGTCAACCACGACGATGTTCGCTATCGTTCGCAACAGTTATGACATTATTGTGGAAGAGAATAAAAACTGAAACAATTAGCTCGTTTACACCAATGAATAATCATTTGTGCTCGTACCTGTCCGAGCGTGTATCAACTATCAAATTCCTTGAAAAATAAAGAAAAAAAGCACCGAAGCGCGTAACGAACAATGGTGTACAGGTACGTCGGAAAAATTCGCGTTAGCGAATTCTCATAGCGAAAATCGCGCTGCTGTGCGGTCGACGGAAGAGAAGCAGAACGTTCGTCTCTTTATGTAAATCGGTCGAATTCACGGCAGGCAATAAAATGTAAAGCAGAGAGCGTGGAGAGGATGGGATGGCACTCCACCCTCTTCGATGTCGTACCAAGCGTACCTCCTCTTTTTCTTTCTCCCTCGCCCACCAAACGCCCCCCCGTTCGGTGTTTCCAGCCTGCTGCACCTGGTACAAACTGGCAAGATAATAGCGTGGGAGAAGGAAAAAGAACTCCCGGTACGTGCAGCGTCGCGACGCGACGCGTCCTCTTTGTGTATCGGGCGAACCGACGCGATTTAACTTACCGCTCGCAAACGATCTACGAGACAGTTTATTGGTGTGTTTCCCTCTACCTTTGTCACGACGGGACCGGACTTCCTTTTCCAGGGACGATCCCGTTCGGATATTTCCATGGCTCTTTACTGCCTGTACGTGGGCAACGGGCTCGTACCCGGGCATAATTCTCTCCTACATCTCTACGCGTTGTTTAGCAACTTGCCCCCGGCCCCTTTACCACTACCAACGCTTCAGAGCCCGTTTCTTTACGGACACGTTCTTGAAACTGACTTCTTCTTTTCACTGATGCTTGATCACGCATAGTGAATGTATCTTGTTATATTAATTTTTTCTTTTGCATAAAAGTGTTATGTAAAAGAAATAGAAAGACTTCTCAGACAGCGAGTATTCAAAGGTTTCCTTACGAATCTCATAACCGAAAGAATTTCAAAGGTACAAAGAACGAAGACCACGGGGGGATGAGTGGAAAACAAGGTTCACGGTTATCGCAATGGCCCCGGTATCGAGTTAGGAAAATAATTGCACCAGATGCGACGGCGAGTGCTCGAGGCACGAGGATCCACGACTAATTGTTGCTCTTCCGTTAATACCTTGCGTAATGTCCCGGCTCGTTCCGTGGCTCGTTTCTTTATGCTAATGCCTCGTATTAAATTCTTTCCGCGGGACAAAGGAGAAGAAGGATCCTCTCGGTGCCTCCTTTTGTTGGCTTCGTGTTGAACACTGGAAAATTTCCACCGAAATCTGTTCCCCGGCTAGAGAAAATTGACGCTATTATACTCGTTAAGAGGGGGCGAAACGATCGACGCCTCTAATACAATGTAGGTAATCGAATAATTAAAAATATCGAAAGAGAATCTTCGATGAACCGCTGGTTGGCATAAAGGGGTTAGGCCACTGTAGAATTTTGAAAAAATCGAATTTCTTTTTTGCTTAAAAGGTGCCTTAATGCTGCAGAATATTTTAACTTGAATCACTATACAAAAATTAATTTTTAAAGTTTATTAGTTGTAAAATAAAGGCACGTTTGCTGAATTAAAAAAAAAATTCCCAAAATATGTCTATTTTTTCTTGCTCTAGAATGACCTAACCCCTTAAAAGTATTGAACGTGATTCGAAATCTAGCATCCGTTCCCTTTGTCTTCGCGGCCTCTTTCTCGCTCCACCAATTCGATACGCGAGCGGGAATAATTGAAAGTAGAGTGAAGCTGGAATATTTTGTTCGGCTACGCGGATTCGCATAATCCTCGGCTCGTTCGCGAATTTAATTAAACCTAATCCATTTACCCTCGAATCCGGGATTACGCGGTCGCGCACACGCCGCATTCCATACGCAATCCACGGCTAAAGCAAAGCAAAGCAAAGCAAATCGCGTCGAAAGCCAAAGCAAATCCGTGTGTTTCAATGTCACACACCGGCCGCGTTTGAATCCTTTCACGTTTCTAAATTTAATATACCTCATCCGAGAATCATCGCAGCGACGACGATGTTGATTCGTCTACCTGTTCTTCTCAGTCGTTTGCTTGGTTTCGTCCTTCAGCTTAACACTGGCTGACCCCTTTCGCTCTTCCCCAAAAGGAAAACACTTTGGGAAGCCCGAGTGAACCACGGTCAACGTCATCGTCGAGGAATCGCTGAATCACGATTAACCGGACAGATCTCACGATTCTATCCTGTTCAATGACACCAGATTCGAGCTCGATTACTTGTTACCAACGATCCGACACTCGACACTCTAGCTGGCCATCAAACAATTCAATTACCGAGGAACTCGTAATGCTTTGGTAGTTATTTAAAGGTGGACATTTTCGAGGATGTCATGGTTCGATGGTTTTGATACAACGGGAAATAAAGTGATACCGAGTATCAACACCGATGACCCATAACCCATATTCCGTAACCCATAACCTATCAGTTATCGATTTCAAAGCGTGTAATAATAATCTCGAATCCGAGGTGGAAAAAAGGAAGCCGATAATCCGATATCACGCGGAGAGAATCGACGATAGGGATCAGTAAGAAACGCAACGATGAAACTTCGCTCTCAAGTTCATAGCATTTATGCAAATTCCGTTTGATCCTCTTTCGACCAACGGAATCGAGCCTTTCCACGGGAAGATTGGTTTACCGGTTTCGATTGGTTTTCCGTACAGATTCACCGGTGAAGAACGCGGCAACAGAATGAATCATGATCGAGGAAACCTTTTAAAACGCCACAGCTGGTTAACCTTGCGTTTCTTCGGCTTATTGTACTTTGATGAACGACTTAATTGTCGTCGATCGTCAGGGGTCGATGGTAACGAGTAACGATTAGTCGTTAATTAATCCATGTATTCGATCCTGTCGGTTTCCCAACATTGCGAATAGAATTTTACCATATCAATAATCCACGTTATCCTTTCAGACAATGGACGCTTCGCTTAATTCGAGACAAGAGCTTGTTCAGCAACGATGCAACGTTCGAGAGTACCACAGGACCCATCGACTTCGATCCATCGCATTCCTACATGGGCACTGTGTTAGGTGAGTTTCTTTTTCATCTACATTTCCTCTTACCCGAACGTTTGATCTCTCGACAACATCGAAAAAGAATTGAATCCTCTCGTAGCTTTCAGAATTTTCTAGCAACATTTACACACGCGTCCTATATAAAACGTATCTCGATACGAACGCAACAGCCGTGCAGGAAATCGGTACGTCATGGAATGCTGGAAATCTTGTTGTAGGATTTATTCTGAAAATCGAAAATCGCGGATTTTTAAATTCAAAAGTCGACCGTGCTTTGTTATCTTTTTTTTTTTATTATTATTTTCTTTTACTTCTCGATACGCGATACCGTCGAACAATTCAAAGGGCCATTGGCTACGAAATCGTACACAGGAAGTTTATGGCGTGTAACTTTGGAAATATTCAATTTCAAACGGTCGCGTGTTTTCGATGCCGATCAAAGCATCGAATATTTTCGAGTTTGGAATTTCAAGCTCTGACAAAACGAACCCAGAACGATGCATGCGTCAAAATAGTCGGGTAAAAGCGTTCGCTGGAACGATGAAGGATATACGATAATCCAGGACGAGGCAGGAATTTGTACTTTTTTTTTTTTTTCTCCCCATACGCTATTCGGCGGTTGACGTCCTTCGATAGGAGTAATCCTTGCTTCGATCCTGAACATCCAAGCCGGAATCTCATTTCGATCGTCGTCCTCGCAGTTGCGATCGTTTGGAAAGCAGCCAAATGCTCTATTGAAGGTGTACCAGCAAAAGGTCTCGACCTGACTGCCATGAACGATCTACACATCGATTCCAGGCATTATCTCTTTTGTGCATGGCTCAATGCAACTTGACTTTACCGACAACCAGCTATTTTATATTAAGAACATTGATCGACAGTTTGCTTAGTTATTTCGCGGTTGCTTTGAATAATACCAGATCGGTATAAATAGCTTATTCAGACGTTTAACAATCGACAAGTTTAAACGATCTAACAAGCACCATACCAGTCGAATTTGTAGAGGATCGTTTTCAAACAATCGCAACTGAATTGTTTCTGAGACGCGAGCGAACTAGGAACTTCCGCTTTAACCGAAGGAGAGTACACCTTTCATAATTCCATTCTCTCTCCACAGATATGCAAAGTTTCCTCGTAATCACGTCGCTAACATTCAACGCGCAATTGTTAGCCAAAGTATGCTTGCGTTCAAACTTTGCCGATCCGTGCGGAATAAGTCACGAAAATTTATTCCCACTTCTAACGAGACGAGAGTTTCTATATAGACCAGCTATCGAATACAAATGTCCGCGTATCGCCCAGGTTCCCGTCGATCCTCGTTGGTTAAACGATGCATTTCATTAACAAGCTCGTTCACCGATCGCGAAACAATGTAACAAGCAGGCAAACACAACTCGGGACAAATAATGGTTGACCGCAAAAGCTTTGAAGGCTCGCGAGCAAAATTATAATCGACACCCTGCCATAGAACTATGCAGATGAGCTTGCCGATGGATCCGTAATTAGAAGGCACGCTGCAAATGAAACAATCAGATATGTGTGGATACATTTTGATAATTATACCTTGACTGTACATCGAAGATATATACGAACCTTGTCACGGGTTCAAATTATGTTTACCAATTTTTGATTAATCAGCTGATCGATAAATTAACTTACTCATTTGCTTACTCCATCCTTCATAGCTTTTGCCCCATGAAAAATCTGATTAAAAAAAAGATTGATACCGTATAAACCAGGCCTGGTCAACACACGTGCGGCCCGCCGGGCGATTTTTTATGATTATTATGAATTTTATTCAATAATAGATAAATTTCTCGAAATGTGCTAATGAAATAAAGAAACTTATAACTGCATTTGACAGTCGTTTCTCAGAATTAGCAAAATATGATAAAATATTTAAAATTTTTCATCCCTGTTTCATGTTGACGCGAACAGTGTTCCTGAAAATCTGCAAATGGAGTTAATTGAGTTACAGTGCAACAATGAAATGAAGCGTCTACATTAAAAATGAATTTTTATAATACTCATATTACATTCGAGAGATATTCCAACTTAAAATATTTTACACGAGTTGTAAGTGCTTTTGGATCCACATATGTTTGTGAAACATTTTTTTCGAAGATGAAATTTACGTGCTTCATTAACTGATGCCAATTTCGAACGTAAATATAGATTTACAAAAATTAAGTGAAAGAAAGGATAAAGAAATACCTCATTAATTAAGATTCGAGAGTTAATTATATTGAATCATATTTTTTACCTAAAGTACGGCTCGCTTTAACGTTACGCGTCATCAAAGTGGCCCGTGAAACCATTTCGTTTGGCCAGGCCTGATATAAACGATGAAATGAACTTGGGCTAAAACGTAGATCGATAAAAACAGTTTGTCATCCTACTGAGTAATGTGCGCTGCGATACTCGTAATTGCTCGAACGATGCAACGATTAAATTAACTTGACTTTTCGACCGGTTGATGTATGTGTACGTACTGTGCAACTGTGCAACGATGTGGCATAACGCGTATCACTGGTAATCCGATTACCGATTAAACTTGCCTAATTGACGGTGTACCCGTGTGTAATTGCCCCGGCCGGAAACGGCCGATTGGCGTGCACCGATAATGGAGAATTCCGCTTGATGCGTGGCCAGTCGCTTAGAAAATTCCGCTCGAAGCGATCTTTGAAAGAGGCTACCTCTTTAGGTTGAACGAAGTGCCCTGAGATAACACACTGCACTTTTACCCTCGTAGATCAATTCGTAGCTACGTTAGATAGTAGACTCGGCTGATATTGGATACTGAATATTACCCGTGCAGATATCGGTTGTCCGGGCATATCTACCGAAAACAGGGTAGGTTGTTTTAAAAAGTGAGAGAAAAAAAAATGGTAGTGGACGAACGCGTGAAAGCAGCGGGTGCACCGATGATTCAAATCAATGCGCCGTCGATTGGGCGTAATTCGATTGTTAATCAATAAAACAAGCTCGTTGGGCATATTTTCTCTGTATCTGTCTGGTGACGACGGCGTTTGTTGCGCGTATTGTTCGCGATTCCGTTCGCGGACCGTCCCGCTAACTGTTCACCGACTAAATTGGATTTTTCCACTAACGAGCGCCAGAGCTTTTCTCCGTAAAAGCGGCCGGTTGGCTCCGTGAAAGCTCCTCTGCTTGCACACACCCCTAAAACCTTTTCGCTCACCCTCTTTGCTTTCTTCCGTTTCCTCTTTCTCTCGCTTGAACCCTCCCCCCCAGTTCACGTTGCTCAGTCCTTGCACCACCTGATCGGACTCTGCTCTTCCTATTTTTTTTTTTTTAATCCTTTTTGGTCTGTTTTATTCTTCTCTGCCTATATTCCGTAGCCTTCGAATATTCTCTCTCTCTTTTTTTTTCTCCAATCCTCTTCCCGGCTTCTCTCGGAGGCTGAATGAAATGAAATTAGACCGGATTCCAATAATTCGTATTTCGCCTCGAAATAGAATATTTCCTGCTCTGTTAATTGGAGGAGAAAGGAGGAGTTGATTATTCTTTTGCCGGGCAGTTTATGAAGGATACCGAGGACAGAGAGGACGTCGGACGGTTTAATTAAAAGCACGGTTCTGTAATAATGAATTTTCGTTGAGCTTAATCGGAGAACACTATTGATCCTGTCTGAATTTCTTACAGGAGTGAATGTTCGAATGGACGTGACCTAAATATCTTCGTTACCTACCTAGTAATTGCGTTAATTTAACGTGGATACCGTGAACGAACAAATGATTAAAGGATAATTTATGAAAAATTTAGAGTTATCAGAGACAGGAATCTATTTCGATCGCAAAGTAACAAAGAACTTTTCAATTTTCGTGACTTTTCAATTCTCTGTGGTAGCGATCCATAGCGAAAAGATTAAATTAACTGGCTCTTTGGGATTCGGTCTGGCCGCGGAATATAATATTGAATAGCAAGGGTGAAGAGAGCCGAGAGAAAGGTTCCCTTCCGTCGGCCTCTTTTCGAATGAAACCGAATTAACCGGACTCTTCCTCGTCGACTGAGTTACTCGGCCCGGCCGCCGCCGACTGGAATATTGCGTTGAAGCCTGGCCCCGGAGAAATGGGTCAATTACGCTTGGGAAGAGTTTGCAGCTGATTTTAACGCGGCTGAACCTAGCCAAGCGATACGCTCTGGATTTGCAGCATTCAACACTCTCCGTTGCGAATTTTCAGGCAAATTGAATCGTTTCGATGTCCTTTTCAACTGGAAAATACTTTACGGTCTCGAAGACTTTAACACGTTGAACCCCATGGGGGTCATCGGTGACCGGCTCTGCAATTTACACACGCCTGAATAATTAAAAGAAAACAATAGAAAAACATTATTTTAAGTAATATTGCTATGGTACAAATAATGTGAAATGGTAAAATTTGAAATTTGAAAATTAATTATTACTATTCTTCATACGTCCCAAAAAATGCTCAATTTCCCTGTGGCATTCAACGTGTTAAACAATCTAATATGTAGAAAAAATTACATATACAATTTACTTACATCCTAACATCGGCACGACCTTAGACCCCTGATGAAACTATCTAGAAATGCTAATGAAACGCTGGGAATATTTTCTAAGGATGCCCGATTCTACTAGTTATCCTTGAAACAGTTCCCTCGCTGCATCCTGCGAACGTTCTATTCTTTTCGTCCCTATTCTCTCGCCGATTATACGCCGTTGCACAACATTATCGTCTATCTTGCAATTTTGAAGCAACGCTCGCCTGGCTACCTTCGAATTTGTACTTTCAATTCCAAAGGAAACGTAACGTTTTTGGGACGGAAAACTTCTCTCAAACGAATCGTTAACGATAGCTCCACTTTCAGATCCAGGTGCGTTCAGTTACGAAATTAAATAACTGCTAAAAGCATTGAGTATCTCGTTGAAAAAAGTTTCTTTTCAAGTGCTCGTAACGTTGCACTCTATTCGCGATCGTCGAAGGAGCGATAAATTGGCTTACGCGTGGTTGTTAACAAATTTTCGATAAACTTTCCACGCAGGAAGAACGGTCCTCTAAATCTCAACGAATACTGGGGTTAAACGAATCTCTTAATATTTGTTAGCCGGTTACGTATTCCTTGGGTGTTTTTCGAGGATACCGGTCACATCCTCTTCCGTCCCGTTTTTCCTCCGCCAACCTCCTCGCGCTAATCGCATTAGTGAAACGTGATTTCTTCAGGAACGCTTGGAAATAATTTCACGCCAGACAGGATTTTTAACGGTGACCCTACAGGGAAGAAGCATTCATTTTTTTCCTCCTCTTTTCACGAAAATTGAAAGAGAAAACGTAACGCAGATCTCCGACGTGCGGCTAACTTTAACTCGTTCCTTACCGTATACCCCATTTGGGGAATTTATCTACTTACGAGAGAAGGTTTTTTTTTATTGTTACACCGAAATATCAAAAATTTTCCTTGCTTTTCCTAGTCCTCCTACCCTTAATTAAAAGTGAGAAGTTTTGGGGACTCGTTTTGGATTTAACTTGGATAGGAGAGATAAAAGTTTGTAAAAAAGTCGAGTGAAATTTTCGAAAAATTGTTTATTTATTTATTCATTACTAAACGGGATTAACCCTTTGGTACAAAATTTAACAGAAATAATTTGAGAACCTTCGTGTATACGAGATACAACACTTGTATTAACTTCTTAGCCTTTATTCATATTTTTAAAAAAATATCGTACTTTTATTATTTGAAAAATGTTTCGGTCGCTGGGTTCGAGCAGTAACGAAAAGGGTTAATCTGGTGCGTGAAATTGGATCGAATTAACCCGGATGGCCTGCCATCGACCGCGAAAACAAAAGCCAGCTCGGGAAATTCGATGGGGGACTCGTTGATTTTCTTCTCGTTCCCTGGGGTACTATTGTGCTCCTTTGTTTTCGTCATTTTCCAACTACGATAAAAGGAAAGTTTCGAACACCATGGATTCTCGATGCTTCAGAAGTTTACCTGGAAATTCATGAATGATCCACGCTACAGCTGACACATCAGTCAATATGTTAAATGAATTAACGTTCCTATCTATCATGTAACTCCTCTTCTCGGACGCTCTGCAGAGTATCTATGATACACGTTGTTTTTCATAACTTGCACTCGTAATAAGTTGTAGAATATAAGGCTGAATAATTGAATTGCGAAGACTTCCAGAGGATTCTTAAGACTTCTTACGTACCTTAAGTCTGTCGAAGGTGAATTTACTTGACTTTGGTACACGTCTCGGTAGATTGAAATTCTAACTATCACCAGGCTACATATTGCTTTTCACGAAATCTTCTACAATTTCGTTTCTTTTTAATACCTCTTTTTCTCGTTAAGTGTTTTTAAATCGCGTGTCCATGATCAGTCTGTTATTTTTCACGGAAACGTTTGAACGAACGGTATCGAGCGTATGCAAATCGACCGGTTGAATCCAGACAGCCAGGGAAACTCGGAAAATTTCACGAATCATTTCGTCCCCGATATACCTGTCGTATTTTCACTTCGAAAATGGATTTTCAAGCGAACGAAAGTGGGGGGGGGGGGAAATAGAAACAACGAGCAGGAAAATTTGTCCAGATGTATCGTGAGATAACGAGGGCACGTACCTTTCTTTTCTCGCTTGATTGCCACCGTTCGAGGGAGAAATTTTCGATTCTCTCTTAAATGGTAATTTCATTGGTCCCGTAGCTGTGCATCAGGAGGAGATCGTTTGAGCCGGAGAACCCTTTGTTCAATCGTTTCCTTTGTTCGAGGGTATCGATTAGCGCGAGGGGTGAATTTACTCATCGAGGGATTTAAAACACTTAATTGCAGGGAAAAAAGACTTTCGATAATTCGTTTGTTCGTTTCTCGTTCGTTCTGCCAAGCTCTCGTTTAATTCCCTCCTGGATACCCGATGATTTGATGATAAAATCAACCCTTTACAATGCAAGATCTTTTTTTATTACAATTTATGATACATTTTCAGATATCTGTTTAGTGAGATATTAGCCATCGAAATGGTAGCATATCCCCTTGGGAATTCCTCGATTTTTCGACCTAGTTTTCCACGAAATCGAGAGAACGATGCGTCCGGAAATTATGAAATCGTCGAAACGATGTAATTCCCTCGCAAGACGACAGCTATGACGGAAATGGATACCCTCTACCCTTCTTTCGTCTCTGACCGATCGGTCGTACGCTTTGTCTTCTTCTCGCCATCGTTACTTCAACGACGAGACAATTTTCGATTCGAGAGTTTGCTTCGGAAATCTATCGCTCCAGCCGGAAGCGAAACCCTCGACGAAGGTGGAGACACGGAACGAAGTTATCCCCGAGTTCCCTGAATCTAAATAGACGACGACTCGCTCGATTTCCGTGCGAATAGCCAATTACTGGAATAAACGTAGTCGCTACGGGGAAAAGCAGAGGGTTAGTTTTAACTTTAACAAGGATCTCGGTGAATCCTAAAGGAGATGTTTCTTTTTACATCAACCCCTGGTAACTGGTAATAAATTGCATATTACATGTGAGTTATTCAAATATTTAAACACTTAGGTATTCCATGTGTTTAACTATTTAATCTGTCGATATTTTCGTTGGTACGGCTAGAAAATATTTTCCCTCGTCATGGGAAAGAAATTCCCAAACGTGCTGGTTATTTTCCCTGGCGCCGCGCCGCCCCGTCATGCTTTCCCGGGAAAGAAACGATATTACGTCGATAACGCGCGCCACCGCGGCCAATTCGTTCGAGTGGAAAAGCAAAAACGTCGATCTATCTCGCGATAAATTCTCTCCAACATCGTCCTCCTGGTCCTTCGCGTTTCTCTCTTACAGTCCCTTCGCGGATTACACTTTCCCCACCTCTCTAATCCCTCTTCCGTTCTTTTTTTCCTTTCTCCTTTTTGTTTTCAAATCCTTTGTACTTTATTTCGAGGGAAATAATTCGTGACCGTTTCCTCGGTAACAGGCTTTAACCCCACGGATCGTTCTATCGGGAAATGAATCAGCGTTATTTCACCAAAGCGATCACGGTCGTATGAAATTCAAATCTCATTCGACACGTTTTCCTGCAGCTACGCCAACATTGATTTTCCGTAATAATTTTTTCTAAGGAATAAAGAAAAAATGAACGCTCCGAATATGCGCGATTAAATACGATATTTAATTTGCAGAGGACGAGAACGCGGTTGTGCAGGGTATCGTGACAGAGGATGGCCTTTTCGACGGCACCGTGGTCACCAGATTCGAAGAATACTACATCGAGCCTACGAACAGATACCTGGACAAACAAGAAGACACCTCGCCAGCCTATCACAGCATCGCTTATCGCGCCTCGGACGTTCTGACTCCGCGACATATCATCCCATGTGCCAGTCATCAGCTGCATCGAGAAACTCTTCGCGATTTCACCGAAAGGTGAACACGTTGGCGTGAAATGTTATTTAATTAACTCCTAGAACAGCTTGCGATTCATTCACGAATGATCAAGGATGATACATGCAAATTCCGAGAAAATCATTCATGCTTCTGACGCGATTTGGAAAGCGTAGATTTCGAGAATCGCTGGTTACAGACGCGTTCGTTAATGTAACAGGATAACACGTGTGAAACATGGAAAGGGAGGTGAATAATCGTGTTACGTTAACCGAGGATGAGAATGGATCTAACGAGAGAAAGGGACCAGGTTGTTGCTGAACCGTCTGGCACCGTCTGAGGTTTATCAACTCGGAACACCGGTGCTCCTTCGCGCTAATTTCGTTAGCAATTTCTCCGACGCGTTATTCGTAGGCGTACGTTAAGCGCGCAGCTACGTCTAACGAGCTTTAAACCGCGGATCTTCAAACATTCCCGGATGAATCGTTGGCAATTTACCTTTACGAGCGTCTGCTTTAATCAGTTTAAACCGTTCCGTTTCTTTCTCGTTCACCTTTTCATTCGGTTAACTACGGTGTTTATTGAAAATAATTGTTAGAAAATTCTCAGCGAGTAATTTTGTAATTGAACGGCTCGAAAATTTTTAGAGCTTCGTTCTCGTATGCCCCTGGGCAACCGTGTACGCTGACCGCTCGTGTACTAAAAATTGCACGAATTAAGGCGCATCTCGTGTATCTGTGTAGACACGAAATTCGAAGCTCTCTGTATATTTTTCAGGAGGAACAGTTTCGAGAACGATTCCCGAACGTATTACGAACCGTTGCTCGGCGAGAAGCTCGCTCTCTACTCGAAGGAAAACAGTGCAAGGGTTTTAACATCGGAGAGAGATAAGAACGTGGCACGTACAGATACGTGAGTGTTGCTCCCCTAACAAAAATCACGAAAATCCTAGGATTTATCATTTATTTCTTGGATTTATAGAAATCGTACAGTGTCGAGTAAATTTTCTAAAGTTATTATACATAATAAAATGGTATTTGCAATTGCTGCTGTTTCGTTTCAGAACGAACGACGGTGATCGTATCGCGAGGCATTTACATAAACGAGCAACGGTGGATCCACGGAAAACTACGTGTATGCTGTACCTGCAAGCTGATCATCAATTTTTCGCGCGATACGGCACGGAGGAAGCTTGCATCGAGGTGATGACGAGACACGTGCAAAGGGTCAACTCGATTTACAAGCACACCGGTAAATCTTTCCCTCGGTGTCCGGCAATCTAATCTGAAACACGAATCATCTCCGCTCGAAAGAAACGAGACTCTCGAACTCTCTCGGTCCGATAAGCATTTGTAACTTAACCGTCCGTCTTGAAATCCATCTTTAGACGGGCTTAACTCTGTCGAGTAGAATCCGGTTATTAGAACGAAGAGATAGAGGAGAACAGAGATGTTCGAGAGCTTTCGTAGTTTGGAATCGCTCGAGATGGATTTGTAACTAGGCGGTACAATATTATTCCTTATTGTTCGTAGATTTCAATCAGGATGGAAGGCCGGACAACATCAGTTTCATGATAAAACGCGTGAAAGTTCACAGCGAGGATGCGTTGAGGGATCCGAATTATCGATTCCCAGGGAATTACGGCGTGGAAAAGTATCTGGAACTGTTCTCTGGTAAATAAATCCTTCTTACAATCCATTGTGATTGCCAGTGTCTCGGTGATAGGTATTCGATACTCGTTTCTCGCAAAAGTAGGGTAATTAATAAGAAATCGTGATCTCCTTTCGTTTATTACAGAAGAGGATTACGACGCGTTCTGCTTAGCTTACATGTTCACGTATCGGGACTTTGAGATGGGAACACTGGGACTAGCCTGGACTGGTGACTTGAAAAATGCTGGCGGAGTTTGTGAAAAGAATGGAGTAAGTCCATCTACCTGTTTATGGAAAATTGGTGTACTTTTCCTTCTTGTAATTAAATCTTAACGTCTAAATAACTGGTTACCACAAACTACCGCTCGCAGAAATCAAAACCACATCAAAATTTTTTACTGCTCTCTCAAAAATATTCGTGAAACTTCCCCGGACAACCAAATATACTTTACGCGTTAAAGGCTATCGTTCTTCCCTTTTACATTAACTCCTACAATGATTCGATTTTACAGCACTATCGCGGCAGCATGAAGTCGTTGAACACCGGAATAGTGACTTTATTGAATTACGGCAAGCACGTACCACCTGCAGTCTCCCACGTCACTCTGGCCCATGAGATTGGTCACAACTTTGGTTCACCGGTAAGTACAACATTACTTCTCTCAACGTAGCAAGATTTTCATCTAAAATGACAGTGCTCCTCATCTTCGCCACTTCCATAACGTTATTCGGCAAAGTGGTGAATCTACTTCAACGTGTTCATTTTGTTGATCAGATAATACACGTGCATGCTTCTCTCAGGCCACGCAGAAGAGAACTTGACGTGTAGCCTGTTTTTCTAGGTCTGTCGATACTCGCGTAACAGAAGCCTCCACTTTACTTTGTTCCAGCACGATCCGGAACAATGCACGCCCGGTGGAGAGGATGGAAACTTCATTATGTTCGCTCGTGCTACTAGCGGCGACAAGCGTAACAATAATCGTTTCAGCCCGTGCAGCTTGAACGCTATAAATCCAGTTTTGAATAGCAAAGCTCGATCGCCCAAGGGATGTTTTACTGGTCAGTTTCCAATAAATTATTTTTATACTTTTATTAATATCCAATGATATATTTAACTTGTTGAATATACCCCCGTGCGCTCTGTAATCGAACATATACGACATAAATGAATACATCTGTTGCAGAGCCACAAGTGTCATTGTGCGGGAACGGTGTCATCGAGGAGGGTGAAGAATGCGACTGCGGTTGGGAGGAAGATTGTAGAGATTCTTGTTGCTTTCCTCAACGTCGTTATCCACCACCTGGTGAAACCCCCTGCACACTTACGCCAGGATCAGTTTGCAGTCCTAGTCAAGTATGTTGATTAAAGAGAAATCTTTAATGTTTCTTCTCGAGGGTATTTCAACGTTTCGTTTCGCAGGGTCCATGCTGTACTTCCGAGTGTAACTTAAGGTTCGGAGACAAATGCAGAGATGACAATGGTTGTCGCGACGCGAGCTTCTGCGATGGTCGGTCACCCTACTGCCCTCCTTCCATCAACAAACCTAACAAGACAATCTGTAATCGCGAATTTGTGTGTTTTATGGGAGTGAGTATTTTGTAAAACGTAAACTAATAGTTGACCCTTTAATACTAGATTGTCGGATTTACATCCATCAAAATAGGTATAGCACATATGAATTTTTGGAACTAAGGAGTGGGGAGGGGAAGGAATTAGTATTTGTATACATTTCATAATTCTACTAAAAATTATTTAAGTTTCTCTATACATATATATAGCAATAAAATCGTAAATGAGTCAAATTGACTCACTCCGGCAATCTAGTGTTAATGCAGTTATTTATATATCCTGATTATTTCCAAGAGTAGATATAAGTCATTTTTTACTCATAGGAATGTACAGGTAGTATCTGTCTTGCGTACGGATTAGAATCTTGTCAGTGCATACCAGGACCAAACGATCCGCCAACGAAAGCTTGCGAACTTTGTTGCCGTCTTCCTGGAGAAAATCAGCCTTGTTTGTACGTTACCACAGATATTTTTTCTTATTTATTTTAACCAGGATTACAAAGCAAACTATTAACGATGCTTCTTGCACTGATACATAGATCATCTTTCGATTGGAATTCTCCACCTTATGATATACCAGCCATGTTCTCAAAGCCAGGAACACCGTGCAATGATTACAATGGATACTGTGATGTCTTCCAGAAGTGTCGAGAGGTATGATGATACTTGTAATAATAAATTGTAGAGCTAGGTCGGTCTTAATCGATCAACGTTGTTTGTTATACAGGTCGATCCAAGTGGTCCTTTAGCAACTTTGAGAAAGCTTCTATTGTCGGACGAAAGCCTTGCCAATTTTCGTCGTTGGATAGTTAATCACTGGTACGCAGCTGCTTTGATCATTCTGGCTGCAATATCACTACTGGTACGTACTACATTAACTTTTATTTCGATGCTAATTATTTTGTTTGATACTTCCAAATCAGTCGCTCTACGTAGTAGTACAGTTTATTATTATATGATCAATGATTTTTACATCAGAGACGATCGAGGAGAAATGCAGATGAGAAAATTGTTAAGAGTAAGTTTAGGAACAGACGAAAGTAAAATTTATGGTGTAATCTAGTATTTGCTAGATTTTTTCATAAAATCCTAACACCTTACAGTTCGTCTCATTAAGAGCTTTCAGTATCAAATATGCAAACGTTTCAGCATTATCGTAGCCTTGGTCAAACATTTCACTGTTGTATTCTCGCTAACAGTAGAATCAACAAATCTCACCCGTTACTGTTGTTGATATTTCACACCTCGCGTTTCCTGCACCCAGGTGGTGAGCATGAGACTGCTGGGCAAACGTCCGGATCCGAAGCTCAAGTCGGTCACGATAATACACAGCTCGACGACGGAAACTGTGCGCCTTCCGCCGGAGGGGACAGAGGGTGTCACGGTACACCCACCAGCGGTTCGTGCAAAACTTCCGCTCAGCAGAAAAGTGAGAGAGAAGAGGAGACATCGAAAGCCTAAGGATGCTCACGCCAACGCGGCTGATAAGTCCAGCAAGGATGCGTCGAAGAAAAAGAAACAGCCGCAGCCACAGGCAAAGAGGGCATCCGCGAATCCCAGCGAAGACTTCACCAGAAAGAGATCGGCAGACGGTACGACAGCAGTGACGCAAGATAATAAGCGGAAGAAAACTTTCGCGGTTCGGGACAAGCAAAATTCCAGCAGCAACGCAGCCAACAGTTCGGATAATGAAAAAAGGAAACGTAAGAAGCAACACAAGAAGGAAGTGATCGACTACTCGGCCATCCAGACCGAGAAAGAATCCGAACCAAATGCTGATCCTAAAAGCAAAGTTCGTTCCTGGCTACTGGCGTCGTCGCATTGTCGACCAGAAGCGACTAGGACGAACGCGTCTGGTTTGCCAAAAAGTAAATCAACTCCCGTAGGTCTGACTAGCGCCGGGACTAGGTTACCTGCAGCCAGGCAGGTGGTCTCGAGAAGGCCGACCGAATCCAGAGATCCGAAACTCCCAGCCAATACCGCTGCACGCAAAGAGCGAGCGAAACTGCAAGTGATTTATAAACCGCCGTTTAAATTCAGCGTGAAACTCCGCAAGTCGGACAAAGTGGCTCAGGTGCCTGCCCTGGTGACAAACGCGAGCAGCAGACCAAAGCTTCCAAGGACAGGCGTTCTCCTGAGAACGGTGAAGAAGAAGGACAGAGTCAGAATAGGCAGGGCCAGACAAATAGCGCCTACAGGGATCGGAAACGGTGCGGGTGATTTACCTGAACCGGCCAATTCTGACCTCCACACTGTTCCTTCTGACTTGGAGGTGCTGCTATCCGAGAGCGAGTTCCTCTTTTCGGATACGTGACCACAGTGAGCGAAAGACGATTTATTGAATCTATTTAGAGAAATCTTTGTAACAGGAGGAAACTTGAATGGATAGGAAAGAACGAATTTGGTGCACCGAGAAATCCCGTCCAACGAACTACGAGTGGACATTTCGTATGCCATCCTCTGGTTCGATCTCCGTTTCGCTAAAAACAAGTACAACAATTACGTTCGATTAGAATATAAAATCAAAATAGGAATCATCTTGTCGTTGGCGAAACTGTAGGTGAACGAACCAGGTCCGTTTTATCGCGTTAGATTTTAATGGCTGCTGGACGTGTTTTCTTAAAGCGGAACCCCGAACGAGCTTCTTTCGTTCTAGCTGAAATGTATTTTTTTAAGAATAAGTACGCACGACGAGAAGCAGGCAATACACACGCGTCCTGTACGCTTTTCGCTGTTTTTCCCCCCACGTCTTCCTAGTTATAAGACGACGTTCATCTCCGTGAATCTTTCGTGATCGATAATTGTGATTGATCGATTGAAAGGACATTATACGCGTTTTAATGGAAGTGCTAGTTGAACGATCCAAGCCAAGTTTTCTTCTTCCAAAGAAAAGGGGCCAAATTATATTCATCCTTTTTAAAAAGGACTTACTCTGCAATCGTGTGTGCATAGAAGGCAGAAGAGATTCGAATTTTAACAAGGATCTGCTTTAGCCTTGAACTTTCCTTTCGCCGAAGGTCGATTTTTATTAGTTCGTTTGCGATCGCAGGGCTTCAACGTTCAGGGATCAGCGTTCGATCGAGCCGAATAGCGAATTTTAATAGGTGATCTATCGACGTATTTTCAAGAGGATAAGAGATACTTAAACTATTTACTATTATCGTGCCTATCGTACACCGCTGCTCGAAACTTGGGGAAAAGGGATCTCGCGGTCGGAAGAGAACTTTCGTTTTACTTTTTTCTTTTTTAAGTTTTCCTTGGCTACACGATAGTTGTCGGAAGAGCAGCAAGTTCGCAGGCAGCTTAACGTCGAATACCGAATGATATTGATCCTTAAGAAGAACAAGAATATTTTTTAAGAACGTAGAAATAAGTTCGAATGATCGTCTGCCAAGCATTTTCTCAATATTTCATCGGCTGCACTTGCTGTTCATCAGACATACTATTCTCATGGTTCCTATTTCCGGCAACTCCTAATCGCGGTGTAAACCTTGCCGGATTATTTGCATTTCCAATGCGTAAAGTGATGACAAACTCGTCGAGCTATTTATATTTTTGAGACTGTATGAAAGATACGAGACTTAACGACACGCATTCCGCTAAGTTTTCCACGAGTTCCATTCCATTTCTTCGCTTAACTGTTGAAAATGATCGAAGCATAATGCGAAATAGATTGATAAAATCGTCTATCATTACCGTGCGGTGCTATTAGTCCATGTAACTTAAACGTTGCAATCATTTTAACCCTTTCGCCTTATTGAATTTAGATTCTAATAAAACTTCACCTTTGTCGCGTTATTCCACTAAGAAAACCGCTAAGGCATAGGGTTAAATTCTATTCATGTCCAATCGAATTTAAGTTCCTTTCGTTCGCAGATCACGCGTCCAATCTACTCTTATCCTTTGCTGAAATTAATGCTTCGAAATTATTCTAGTACTCGAGCTGATCTGGGTAGCTCTTATTCACTTAATCGCTCTTTAAAGATCGAATTGGTCGTAGGTAGCATTGAATCAGTTAGCTCATCAATTTCACCCAAGAAAAAGAGACACGTACTTAAAGACTTGCGAGAATTATATCTGTTAAAGACAAATACTTGTACGCGAAAAACAAGAAATGTTTCAACGGGTTTTGAAAATTCATAATCAAATTTGTTCATCCATGGTGGGACTTAACGTTAAGCGATAGAGGTGGGCAAATCTATCCTCCGACATTAATAATTATAAGAATGCTGCGATAAATACTGCCATAATGTATTCTATGCGATTTCTTTCAATAATATCAACTCTATCAGATGAAATGTGAAACTCCATTTAAGAATACTTTGTTTCAAACTAATAATCTAATGCTTCGTTTGCCCACTTCTAAATAAAATTAGAGCTGCGAGTAACTGAAAAGAAAAATATCGCTTGTGTGTATACATACCTGGCGTACGTGTACTTAAATCATAAGGATATGTGATTTTACTTTTACATGAGTTTATATATGTATATATACATACACACGTTTAGCAAACACGTGCCGAATGAATGGTCAGTTCTCTTCGTGACTGGAAATTCCATTGATCAATCGACTGTTCAATTCGACCGTGGCTGATATTTGATTAACCCATTGGCCTAATACCATGTAAGCGATTAGTTAGGAGACAAGAATTTATTTGAATAAGCATTAATTAACATTCGTCGAGCGAAAAGAAAAGAAAGTTGACTGCAACTTTTTTGCTTCGTTTTGCTCGAGAAAAGCTGCCGCGTTAATTAAACAACAGCGAGTCAATGTAGGCAAATGGGTTGTCTAAGAAAAATGTGATTTTACTTTTAAGACCAATCTGTGTTAAATTCGTGAACTTCACCGGTTCTGAACCAGTAGTGGCCATGTCGCCTGATTCTCTCGTTCTTTATATCCCTTGATGTTTTACGATTTTTCAATTGCAAAAACGAGCTGTAGGTCAGAGCCGTAACATCGAACAGGAAATTTCGATGAGTGAAGATACATAGATTCAATAGATTTAAGGTATTAGATAGTATTGAACTGGTAGCATATCCATGTTGAAGTTTACGATCATATTCCTCGAAAGGAAACGACAAAACGATTTTTCTACGATCTCAGGAATGTTCGTTTTACGAATTAATTTTCAGAGTGTCATCGTTTCCCCTCACGTAATGTTTTTTAATTAATAGTTACTAATTTACTTGTTGTCGTTACGATACGATTGATTGATTAGTCTATAAGCGACTATGGCAACTGTCTGTCAACCGAGAAAAACTAACGTTCATACTTATAGTCATTCCTAACACTCGGGTGCTCCTTGTATCGCTACTTCAACCCCTTCTATTTTTCTTTTCGTTTTTTAAATTCGTTTAACAAAGAAAGAGCGTGTTTAGCAACAATGCTGTCGTGTGAATTCGTGTGAGCAGGAAGGGGTGAAGGGGTGAAGGGGTGGAAAAAGAAGATCCCTCGAGGGCTTTATTTGCCTCGACTGGCAAGAAAAATTCGACAGGTAGAACTAGTTGACCAGTTGTTCCCGTCCGATTTTTCAATGTTGGAATACTAACGAGGCGAGACTGTTAATTTATCACGTACTTATATCCGATATAAGATGGGGCTGCTGTATTTTTACACGGACTTTGTATAAATAACGAGAGCCACGAGAGCAATGTCTTTCGCGAATCATTGTATATATCTGTATACCAATAAATAGACGTAGAAATAATCCTTAAAATATTTAAGAATTTTGCGGGATCTTAAGCTAACCGAAGACAAAGATTTTATTTGGGGGTTGCATTCTTTTGCCCTTGAGATTTTAAGGTTTCGAGGACTGATTCAGAATGGCACTTAATTTTACGATCCTCGTCATTGTTGTTCCACATAAACATATTTTTATTCTTCTCTTTCCTATCATCTTCATTTCCATCATTTTGTGCAGCATCCCTCAAGCGTTGCAATCTATTTCTAGTTATAGCTTCTCGCAATTCATTTCCATATTGAATATCTAAAAGTAAAATATAATGGTATTCGCGTATTTAACATTTAATTACAGATTCCATTAGATTATACTTTTTTCACGTCGTGCTTGTTCCTCCTGCCTTTTCTTTTCATTCTGATTTCTTCTCTCCTCGGCCAAATATTTGGCGAAGGCTGCATCAATCTCGCTTTCCTTAGCTTTCTTTTCAGCTACAGCCTTCTGATGCTTCGCCTAATTAGTTGATTTTTGTCTATTTTTATCATTTCCTTGTTTAACGTAGAAACGTAACTTAAATGTTACCATGTCCTGCAATAACTCCTTTGCGGTTCGTTTCTTATTCGTCGCCAGTTTCATCGCCTCTCTCGCCAATTCAGCCTCCTTCTCTGCTAAATACAATTCACGACAAATTTCTTCTCGTTCCATTTTCTTGCGTTCTTCTTCCATTAATTTTTCCGACAATTTCTCTACCATCGCTTCTTTTGTTGTACGAATGTTAGTCTAACAATGTAAAATCAATGTTAACGTATTTACCGCTACAATACAGGATGTTCGACAATAGGTGGACAAAATTTTAAGGGGTGATTCTAGGGATCAAAATAAGACGAAAATCAAGAATAACGAAATAGTGTTTGCGGCTTTGTTTTCCAGTAATTTACGTTTAAAAATTCGAGTAAAAAGCGCCTGAAACATGCAACCCGCCCAGCACCGACGACTGAACGTCAGGTCAGCAGGAGAAGGTACAGTCATAACCAAGAAGAGAAAGCCGAATGCTGCAGTACTGAGAAACAGAATAGCACGAGATAAGTTTCTATTATTCAACGATTCTTGGTTATGACTGTACCTTCCCCTGGTGACCTGACGTTCAGTCGTCGGTGCTAGGCGGGTTGCAGGTTTCAGGCGCTTTTTACTCGAATATTTAAACGTTAGTTACTGGAAAACAAAGCTGCAAACGCTATTTCGTTATTCTTTATTTTCGTCTTATTTTGATCCCTAGAATCACCCCTTAAAATTTTGCCCACCTGTTGTCGAACACTGTATAGCAACGTAATATCTATTTCTTTTCAACCTTTCCTTCAGCCTCCCTTTTTTGTTGAGCTTCTTTTTTAGCAATGGTCCTCGATATCTCATCGTGCTCTTGTTTCAAAATTTCCCTTCGTTTCTCCTTCCAAAATTCTCGAGCTTTAAGGAACGCGGTCCTTTCTGCTTGCAACATAGTAGCAGTTTCTCGTTTCTGTTTCTCTGCTTGCAAGTCCTCTTTCAACATTGCTTCACCAACTTCTTCCAATATCTTTCGTTCTCGATGCTTCTCTTCTTCTTTCTCGCGCAGTCTTCGACGATTATTTATCAGTTGGTTTTGCAACTCCCTTCTGTAATTCAATTTCCTTTCTTGCTGCTCTGTTTTAGACACTTCGTTGAAACACCATTTGTTGAACGACTGAGAAGTCTGTGTTTCTTCATCTTGTTTTCGTCCCTTGATTAATTCGGCGTGTATCTTCTCTAATGCACAGTCGGAAACCGATGAAACAGTAGATTTCTTTTTCTTGCATTTTACTGCTTCTTGTTGTTCGATATCTGTGTTGTAATAACAAATTGTTGCATTAATACGATAACTTAATAACGATGTAATTAAAGTTTATATAGTTTTACGTTTACGACGCGACAGTTCTTTAGCTAATCGTTCCGTCAGTTCAATTTGACGAACTTTCAACTCAACAGCTTCTTGGACACGTTGAACTTTCTCCGTTTCCGATGCTTCTTTACGTTTAATATGATGTTGCCGTAAACGTTGTTTAATTTCACACTTTTTTATCAGCGCTCGACGTCGGTTCTCCATTTCGTCCTCTTGTTGCTCCTTGATCCTTTTGAAATATTCATCGTCCTTTCCATCATCTTCGTTAAATATCATCTTGCAAAATTGAAACGCGGACACAATTTGCTAACAAAACTTCTATTCGTTACGCGAAGTATACCAAAAACAAAAAACATCAGGTGACGAATTAAAGAAAAAAAATATGAAAGTAAGATAACTTAAATTTTATTGAATTACTATTTACAGCGATTGAAATGTTCTCTTATAAAATCTAGAAAATAACCATTTTGTCAAAAATATATACAAAATATTCTCGGTTAAGGTCATGCATTTAATAGTCGGCTGCATTGCTAGCCAGATAATCACGGCGTCCAATATTCGATGCCTGTTTATTCTGAATGGCTTCAAGTTTAGGACAATCCGTGATTCTGTGACCGAGACCACCACAGTAACTGCACCCACGTTCGTCTAAAGTATAATGAAAACAATTTAATTTTTTTCTGAATGTAATACCAGTTATAAATAACGTAACACGAATCATCTTACCTCCCAAATTCAGGTACTTCTCGTTTTCTGAACAAAGTTCCAATAAGAATGGTGGAACCTTTTGTTTCGCTTCCATAAGTAAATGTTTAAGATCAAGCAACACGGATTCATCATTTGCTTTGTTAATGAACGTTGTCGCTATTCCCGTTCGTCCAGAACGACCAGTTCTTCCGATTCTATGTACTGTACAAGAAAACACATTATTTAATTATTAAATCAATCTCTGCTCAATCATTATAAAGGCATAATAAATTACCATAATTTTCTACGTCATCAGGCATATCATAATTTATAACATGTTGCACATCAGCAAAATCGAGACCCTTAGATGCAACATCAGTTGCAACTAATACATCTTTTCGACCTTGACGGAAAGCCTCCACAGAACGCGATCTTTCTTCTTGGTCTGAAAAAAAAAATTAACGAATTAAAGAAATACCTAAGAAATATTTTAAAAAAGCTATGTCAACTATCAACGAACCTTTTCCACCATGTATTGCTACTGCTTCAACACCTTTCAGTAATAAATATTCATGAATAGCATCCACATCTTGCTTCTTCTCGGCAAATATAAGTACCGGTGGTGGAGTTTTTTGCAGGCACTCCAAAAGGTACACGATTTTAGCCTCTTGCTTGACATATTCAACTTCTTGTATTACATTCATTGATGCGGCTCCCGCGCGACCAACGTTGATCGTGACAGGTTTTACTAACGCTGAACGAGCAAAATTTTGAATCTTTTTTGGCATAGTTGCAGAAAATAATAATGTTTGTCTTTGACCCTATAAAAAAATGTATAGCTTTAGCATATGTGGCTAGTGGTATGATATCCAAAATACAGTGATATATGTACCCTAAAAAACGAGAAAATTGTTCGCACATCCTCTTCAAATCCCATATCGATCATGCGATCTGCTTCATCCATACAGAGATAACGACATACGCTAAGTTTTACCATCTTTTTATCTAACATGTCCATTAATCGCCCGGGAGTTGCTACCATGATATGCACGCCTCTATAATAATATTAGTCCTTGATATAATACAAAAGACATAAGAATCTAAATATTATCAAGTTACTTACTTATTAATAACTTCTAAAGATTCGGATACAGGTACACCGCCAATTGCTAAACAACTACGTATCTCAGGACAGCCCGCTTGACGTAAACTATTTGTATAATGCCGAATAATGTCGTACGTCTGTTTAGCTAATTCTCGTGACGGACAAATGATTAAACCATACGGTCCTTCATTTCTTACAAATGGCATTGCTACTTCTTGTTCTAAACAGAACATTATAATGGGTAAAACAAATACCAACGTTTTTCCACTGCCAGTGAAAGCTATGCCAATCATATCGCGACCAGATAATCTATAATACAGCAGAAGAAAACAAATATTTTATAACTACAATGTAATAAGAAATGCTTATAAAGTTATACTAATTGTAAGTGTATACTAACACTGTTGGTATTCCTTGAACTTGAATTGGCGTGGGCTTAAAAATACCCTTCTGTTCTAAACCATTCAAGATACCCCGGTGAAATTTCATTTCTTTAAAACTTTTCAGTGGTGGTGGAATATCATCTCCTTCCACCAAAATCCTGAGTTTTCTTCTAACCCGTTCGTGCCTTGCTTCTCCAAGAGCTAGTACAGCTCTTGGAGATCTCCAACTAGTTTTTATTGGATCTTCATATTGAATACCCTTTGCCAATTCTGCTACACCCATCAAAGCTTTATTTTCTGCTACGCTTTCTAAGATCTTTTCTTCTTCTTTCAATTGTTTCTCCATAGCACTTTCCTTCTTAGCTGTAAAAATATTATCAGTTAAATAATTTAGTTGCAACAAACAGCTTGTTATACATTCATAATCATCTACCTTCTGCTAATTTTTTTAATTCAGTATGTTGATCCAAAAGTGAAATGTTTGACTTTCTTCCCCATACTTGTCCATCATCATCATCTGCATCATCTTTTTCATTTTCACTACTACTTTTCCCCATAATTCCAGCAGCTGCTTCATCTTTGAGTTGTCCAAGTTTACCAAGCTTAGCTAGCTGTTGTTTTTTACGTTCTTTCACTGGTACATAAGGTTCATAATTATCATCTGCATCCAAAGGATTTTCATCTTTTTGTCCTTCTCTTCTATATTTCTGTATCATGAAACATTCTTGTTTAACAAAGTTACAGATATATTAATCATACTAAATCAAATGTTGTTATATTAACCTTTCGAGCAAGCTCTTCTTTATTTTGTTCCATTGTTAATAAATTAGTAACAAATACTTGATACCGTCCCACTCATTGCAGATTGCTGCAGATACAAAATGATACAAAACGATGCAACGCGCAGGAGCGTGCTAGCAGTGATTGCAGATGTAGAAGACTTGGACATGCCTTTGTTTTTGAGTGGTCATGATTTCTGGGGTCCCAGACACCCCTGATGAGAATGCAGAGAGCACAGCTAGTATGATAATCGTGTCTGTTTTCCCCCTGTGACTGGGGGGCTTAGAATACAGCCACGGTATCCCCTGCCTGTCGTAAGAGGCGACTAAAAGGGGGACGTAATAGAGCGAGTAAGGCAGTATGATGTAAAAGTACCTGTAAGCGAATGGAATGATTGTAGCGTCGATGATGAGAAACAGAAGCAAAAGTATGGCGAATGTATATAAGATTTGAAAAAAGCGTGCTTGCGCGTGGGACAGTCGGTAATCGACCCTTCGGCAGTCGGTAAGTTAACGAATAGTTTGTGCCGCTCTTATATAGATGGCGCAATGGCCGATGGTTGGGGTGTTGGGGACCCCGAAGTTCGGGTAATGCTCTGCATATCGACATTATGGCATCCGGGGTGTCAAGAACCCCGAGTTTCGGGTGCTTCGGGGCCTCTAACACCCCAAGATCGTCTTTGCGCTTTATAATATAAGATTCTATTCTTCCTTATGAACCCCTCCTCACTTTTTCCAGTTATTTTTTATTTTATCCTTCCTTATGGACTAAAATTCACCCTTTCCAGTTATTAATTATTTTATTCTCCTTTATGGGACAAATCCACGATTCCTAATTATCTATTATTATATTTTTCTTTGTGAGCCTTTCCAGTTATTGTTTATCCTATTCTTACTCTTAATGGACCGAGGCTTCCGTTTGCAGTTATTTATTTTTTTCATTCTTTTCATGGACCTTGCAGGGACTACTTCCAAATCACTGTATCCTCGTATCCTTTGTATCTCTGCAGCCCTTACATCCCAGCACTTCCTATATCCCGGTATTCCTTGTGTTCCTGCATTCCTTCCATCCTGACATCTCTTATATTCCTACATCTCTTGCATCCCTACAACCCTTATAATAAATATATTATAAATATAATAATATACTACAAGAATTGGTTCGGGTAAAGGTAAGTAAAGGTAAGTAAAGGTAAGTAAAGTCTTATACAAATTTAGTTCCTTCTTTTACCGCTAGAGGGCGCTCTTTCGGCGTGAAAATTTTAGTTCCAATTTTTGCCGATAGAGGGCCAAAATTTCTGCATGATTTAGTTCCTTTTTCTACCGCCAGGGGGCGCTGCTGCGACGTGAACATTTTAGTTCAAATTTTTCCCGCTAGAGGGCCAAAATTTCTGCCTGGTTTAGTTCCTTTTTCTACCACCAGAGGGCGCTGTTTCAGCGTGAAAATTTTAGTTCCAATTTTTGCCGCTAGGGGACCAAAACCCGTGCATGATTTAGTTCCTTTTTCTACCACCAGAGGGCGCTGTCTCGGCGTGAAAATTTTAGTTCGAATTTCTGCCGCTAGAGGGCCAAAAGTTGTGCATGGTTTAGTTCCTTTTTCTACCGCCAGGGGGCGCTAAATTTATTCGCACCTTAGTTCCTTTTCTCGCCACTAGAGGGCGCTGTTACGAACGCCGAAAGCGTTACTTCAAGGATGCAATAAATGATAAAGGGATATAAGGCACCGCAGATTGTAGGGAATCGAGTGATTTGTGGGATGCAGGTAGGGTTGTAAGAGGAATAGACATTTAAGGAAGAGGGGGAAGTAAAGGATTGAAGGGTGGAAGGGATAAAAAGGTGTACAGGATAGAGGGATGTTAGGCATACGGCGATGTGAGGGACGCAGAGGTGTAAAGGATGCAAGTATATAAAGAAAGCAAGGATGTAAAGGATGCAGTGATGTAAGGGAATCAGGGATGTAAAGGATGCATACGGGAGTAATAAAATTAACACGTTCGTCCTCCTAATGAGTTTATTCAATAAGCTAAGAAGATAAATAGAGCAAATTAAATGAACGCAAAAATTAAAATATGGGTATATGTATGTTTAGCAGGTAGATCTGCATCCCTCGGCTGTCGCTATAAGACTGAGGGGGTTCACTTCGCTCTAGGTCGAATGGTTGATAACGGAAATTGTCTGGAAATTGTTTTTTTTTTTAATGTGGGGAAATCTTGAATAAGACCCCTCACCGACCCATGGGAGAGTTTTGTTATTTGTTCAAATAGAAATGTGTCTACCGTGGATTGGGCATAATACCTGTTGGCTCACGGTGTCATATTTAACGGCGGGGCACCTTCCTCACTGTTGGCTTAAACCGCCATTTTCCCTAGAGGGACTGCGAAGGTGCTCGTGGTGCTCGGCGGTGTATATATGTACTATTCAGTACTATTGAAATACTTCTATTATGTATCGTATTTGTGTTAAAAATGTCGGTATCAAAAAATGAATGGAGCAGTTCAATCTGACAATTGGAGGATTTCTTTAGGGACACGTAATAATTTATTGTATAATGATATCCCGTACATTCCTCTGTTAGTAGAGGACATTCAAACCTTTCTTTCTTTTGAGGATCATGAAGAAAACGGTGTTAAAACAATACAAACATTAGGAGAACTTATTCCAAAGACTGGAACGCGGGCTGCACTTCTGTCATTAACACCTGGAAATAGTTCAGAATTTCCAATAAGTTTCAAAAATTTAGATCTTGATGATATATATAGTAAGGGTCCAAATGATACATATTGTGCAATATGGGTAAGTGGTTTGTTTGGGAGTATTATTAATGTATTATATTTTAATGATGTTATTTATGTAATGTATATCCACAACATGTTTGTATTTATCAGGAAAAACACATTGTATTTAAAGTATATGGAATCCTGAAGATAGAAGAATCGGAACCTGTATTGGAAATTACACATTTGGTACCAGTTCGTGATATGACAGGTACATGGACTGTAATGACACTGTTAGTTCCAATAGCACGTTCAGAATATAGATAGTAAGTAATATGTAACTATATTTTGTTAATGATACTTTTCAAGAAATCTGAAATTAATAAATTTTTATTTAGTTGTATTTTGCTTTAGTTATTATCGCACTAGAGGACAAAACAATATGTTACAGTTACAATGGGATAAAATGGAGAAAGAAGGGAAACGTTTAGTGAATGAAAATATAGATACATTGCATTGTACTCAAACTTTTGTTTGAGAAAAATTGCTTGAAGATTATATTTGTAAAGATATTTCATACATATTTTATTGTACCTGTTTGCTTATAAAATATTTCAAATTAATATGGACAAAACAATATATATATTTTCTAGTCATTTTAGTCTTTAGTATGTAATCAATAATTATATATCATTCCTAGAAGAAGAACGGTTCTTACATTTTCCAGCAAAATGTCCCTTTGTTTTGCAAATAGTACAGAGAGTATTGATTGCTGGACAGAGTGATCTAGATGCACCATGAGTTAAACCACAAAAGTGACAATTTAAAATTTGAGATTGACATTTCCAAGAAAAATGATTTAGCTTATTACACTTGGTACAAGTTTCTTTATAAGCAGGGCATTTTTTCTTTAAATGAGAATCCCCACAGTAATGACAATTAGTAATAAAAACGGTTGGACATCTTTTGACAGAATGATTCAATTCATTGCATTTGAGACATTGTTTTCCTAATGATGGGCAATTTTCATCACTATGATTATTTCCGCAACGGTAACAATCTTCCGTAAAATTTCCATCATACAGTTTCCAAATAAATGCAATTTGCTTGCATGTTAAATTATTAAAATTGGAAGAAAATATGAACCCTGGTATGAGTGCTTTTGCAGTATTGGTAAATGTGCGTTCGTCAATTTCTTTCAAAATTTTATTTCTTACTAATCCTTCTTCATCTTTAAAATTTGCTTTACTTGCTGTCAACTAAAAAATAAAATCATATTTATATTAATTCTGTTAACACAAAGACTATTTTAAACGTTTTATTATTTACCTGCAAGTGACGTATGTACATGTAGGTATCTTCATCTGGTAGCTTCTCTTTTGATGCAAAAGTGTAGTAGTCATCAAACTTCTTCAATAATATATCCAAATCGTTTTTTTCATTCAAGTTAAATGTAAATACATTACATATTTTTAGTCCAACTGGTCCCATTACATTTCGTAACTTATCTCCCCATTTGACATTACCAGGTTTACTTATATCTGATATCTTTTTATATATTAAAAAATCGCTTTTCCATGATGGCCATTTTTGAAAAAATTCTTCTTCCGTCATGAACGACGGTGGTGGTTTAACCGACTCAAAAAGTGAAGCACTGTGTGGTTGGGCCGAAGTATCAGATGATTGTCCTAAACTTATGACCGATTGTACCGAAGGATTGGATGTTTGTATCGAAGTTTTGGGTAATTGTACAGAAGGTTTGAATGATTGTTCTGAAGAGTTCCTTTGTTCTGGAGTATTGGACAATGTTGAAAAACTATATGAAACATTTGTCGCTTTTGTATGCTGTGGTGGGTTAATCGACGCAGAAAGTGAAGGATTGTGCAATTGGGCCGAAGTATTAGATGATTGTCTTAAAGTTGTGACTGATTGTACTGAAGGATTGGACGTTTGTATCGAAGTTTTGGGTAATTGTACAGAAGGTTTGAATGATTGTTCTGAAGAATTCCTTTGTTCTGGAGTATTGGACAATGTTGAAAAACTATATGAAACATTTGGCGCTTTTGTATGCTGTGGTGGTTTAACTGACGCAGAAAGTGAAGCGTTGTGCAATTGGGCCGAAGTATTAGATGATCGTCTTAAAGTTGTGACCGATTGTACCGAAGGATTGGACGTTTGTACCGAAGTTTTGTGTAATTGTACAGAAGGTTTGACTGGATATTCTGAAGAATTAGACCTCTGTCCTAGAGTATTGGACAACCTTGAAGAACTACACGAAACATTTGTTACTTTTGTATGCTGTGGTGGTTTAACTGATGCAGAAAGTGAAGCGTTGTGCAATTGGGCCGAAGTATTAGATGATCGTCTTAAAGTTGTGACCGATTGTACCGAAGGATTGGACGTTTGTACCGAAGTTTTGTGTAATTGTACAGAAGGTTTGACTGGATATTCTGAAGAATTAGACCTCTGTCCTAGAGTATTGGACAACCTTGAAGAACTACACGAAACATTTGTTACTTTTGTATGCTGTGGTGGTTTAACTGATGCAGAAAGTGAAGTTTTGTACAATTCGGCCGAAGTATTAGATGATTGTCTTAAAGTTGTGACCGATTGTACCGAAGTTTTGGACGTTTGTACCAAAGTCTCGGACGTTTGTGCCAAAGCTTGGTAAAATTGTATAGAAGGTTTGAATGGTTGTTCTGAAGAGTTAGACCTCTGTTCTGGAGTATTGGACGATCGTGAAGAATTACACGAAACATTTGTCGCTTTTGTATTTTGCGAGTTACCTACAAGAATAAAATAAAAAATTTACTTTCTGTAAACAGTTGTTTCAATCTTACTAAAAATATATATTTACCCATTGTTTTGATGCTTTTCAATGCTCCTTTTGATGCTATTTATATGAGTTTCACAACAAATATTTCCGTAAAATTCGTTCACCAATGATGTATTTACAGAGATTACGTCAAAGAACACTTTGTCATTAATGATACTACTAAAAGAGCTACAAGATCAAGCTTCTGTGCGTTACTAAAGCTCTACGTCTTATTAAAAATATAATTCGTCATGCATTAAGATACAATTGTCTTACAAGATGTCACTATGAGTTTACATCGATTGTTTCTAAACAAAAAATGTTTATTCCCGTTATTTACTTTTCGTTCGTAACTATGTAAGAATGTATTATTAACATAAGATTATAAAGTTATCTAAATACGTCCCTGCGATCACTTAGCAATACATTATCGTACTGTATCGTACTGAGATTGAGAGTTCACTAATGTCTGCGATAAGATTCCGGGATTCACTGCGAATACAATTGTCCAACTTAACGTAAAATTCAAACGAAATGTATTTTGTTTTTCATGTTGGTACACTCTGCGCATAGTGTCAACTACTGTAAATTATCAACAATTAAATGATCTTTTGCGATTATCAGAACTTGTATCACAATTTTATAAAAGAAACTAATTAAAAATATTTAAAAGAAAAATTATATTCTATATACAAACAGAAGGAGCATGCGTCAAGCGTCACCTTGGAAACACTACTCAAATTATGCTTCCTTTACTATCGAGTATGATGAATCATCTTAAATTTTACTGTTTAGTAAGTTATACACGTGTACAGATATCTACAACTTGTTTCGATTTCAATATTGATAACATTGTTACCTTAAAAACATAGAGGTTATATAAAGAAATTAAAAGACCACCTTGAAACTTCATCAACAATAAAAGGAATGATCAAGTGAAAAAGAAGTTTGTTCGAATGTTTTTTACGAAGCTAAAAGCTTTTCAGTGGTATGGATACTAATTACAGAGTAAATATTGGCAAGTGGCTGCCATTTCCTGGCATCATTCTCGAGAAATGGTTCGCTGAATCATTGGCGCTCACCGTGAGAATGGGCAAGCTTGTGGAATGCATAGCCTTAATCATCCAGGACATTACAGACGCGCAGGCTTGTGATCTAGAGGTGCGGAACTAACATACCATGGCCACAGTCATGGCTAAGTTCTGCGCACGGTTTAGTTTCTCATTATCAGCCAGGCGAGGATCCGTGAATAGTTAAAATTAGATTGTTAAAATTAGTCTGCTTAATGTAGCGTTCGCCTTCTGGTCATTGGAGACAGAGGGCTCTATGGTAGCTTATTCGAATGCGATTGGCGGGAATACTCACTTTTTATCTATTTTTGTGTTAATTACAGTTTCGATTAGATTTAAACTATGTACAATTATAGAGGAGCCCAAAAGTAATGGTTTTATAAATCCATAAAGCGCATAAATAATAATATTTAATTCTATGTAACACGAATCGCGTCATTCGCAGCGTACATGTTAATATGTTGCCTATCGCAGGGGCCACCAACGACCAGAGCTTCAAATGTTATATTATCAAATTACTAAACATATTATTAATTTAGTATTTTACATTATTAGTACTTATGTGTTTGCAAGATAAATATATCCTTGATCGTTAGGTGTACAAGGGTGTCGCGAACGATCTGGAGGATGTGATGAAGGAATACAAATCAATTTGTAACGTGACTCTGAGCACACATCCGATATACAAGTTTAAAATGCGTCATTTTTTGATACAACTGAAGCGTAAGATGAATACGCTCGCGAGATTTGTTAAAAATTTGATCAACGAAATCGTTGACTGTAACAGCGACGAACTACTCACAGTGATTTTCAGGTAATTGATTAACAAGTATAGATCGAACCCTTCTGATCCATATCTATTACAGATTAGTGAACATTTATAACGATATCTTGGACATGGATATCGATGTTTCCGATTCATCGACTAATGTATTTTACAACGATTGTCCATACATGTTGGAACCATTGAAGAAAATGTCTGTCACACGAATATTACAGGTTGTTTATTTTTGAATTTTTATTCCCGTTTCTTTTTGGAGTTTTATAAAAATCCGAGGAATAGGTGGTTCGAAATGATTTCAGATGTTAGCGAAAAATCGAGCAGAGGAATTCTGCCACGAGCTTATCGATTGTTTGCTAGCAAACTACGAACCTCGTGAGAAAACCGATCCTCCATCAGCAATGTCCGCGGACGTGGATGTTTCAGAGAACTCGAGCATCGAGATTTATCGGTTACTTATTCGGAAGAATTTACCTTTTAGCGATGCTATTTTCCCATTTCACGTTCACAAGGAATTCATTTTCAGAGCCCTCACGAGACACTTAACTCCGCCGACAGAAATCTCCTCGTCGAGAGCCGACATAGAGGTGTCGAACATCGAGAACATTCAGACCCTGGTTAATACTCAGAACGAGCAAGTATTTCGACTATTGAAAATCGTGCAAGAAGTTTCACCTCGATTATTGGGCGCCGATGCGTTGAAGACTGTCAAAGGTAGCCTTTGGTTCATTTCCGATTATTTAGATCGGGTTTATCGAACTACTAAGCGATTGTTTCTTTCAGGTGAAACAAGACTTAGGGGTAGCGCGATGAAGAAAGTGAAGAATTATTACCAGGAAGTTGCATGGGGTGCTTTATCAGGAATTCTGGATCACGTTGTTCTCTGGTGGTCCCGGGAAGCACTTGCTACTCGTCATAGTCACGGAGCACAGCAGCTGAAGGATTGGCTCAGTCATTTTGTCCAAAGGAACCACGGTAACATCAATTGACTTAAGAGTTAAACGTCCTGCCTAAATAAAATAAAATTCCAGTACCAGAGACGGTGAGACCAGCTTTGCAAAATCTCTGCGACGCCCTTGGCTACCATGCGACCATCACCGAATGGGACCATCTCTTCAGGCTGGCTTACACGTCGGCTTTTCAGTATCAATCGAAAGCCTCGTCTACCGAGGTAAATTTAATTTATTACCGAAGTAATTTTCAAACAACCTACTGTATTAGTTGTATTTTCCAGGGTACCAACACGGGACAGATGTTCGTTGAGTTGTTCCAGTTGCTCGTTCGACTCAGCAACGAATGTGAGGCAGGCGGTGAATGGGTAATCGGAGCACCGTTGATGGAATTGCCACTTTCGGAACAGATTGTCGTTCTTCATCGATTGGATCATTCGGTTCACACTGCTAGACTATGGATCGTTCAGGAATCGAAAATCATAGCCCATACCTGGGAACTGGATGTGTTCTTCCTGTTGGTCAAAGGTGACATAGAGAATTGCCTTGAAGAGCTTTCTTATTTGAAGGTAAAACACGAATCCGACAAACAATAATAATTCTTCTTAAATTATTATTCTTAATTTCAGCTAGCTGATCATGCCAGCACGCTCTCAATTGACTCTGTTAGCGTTCAGGTATATGTCTGCGCAAAAATGAGAGCAAAAATCGTGTCAGAAGTGAACGTTAATATAGAGTTACTTCAGGTGTGAGATAAACTATCAAGTTAAAGTGGCTTACGTTCACAAGTAATCTTTTGTAGATTGTTCTATTTTTTCATTGCAGAAGTGTTCTATACAGTGCATAGATATTCTAGCGAAAATCTGTCGGGTGACCAGTCTGGCGAATTTGCATATGTGTTTTCCACCATCAAATTACTGGAGAAAAGGCAGCGACGAAGCTCCAGCGGCTGCTAGTCCCTATGTGGAACCTTATTTTGGTGCGAGAATCTTTTTCACGTATAATGCTTGAATCGTTCTATCCTCTAAAAGCATTTCTTCTATAGAAAAGGTGTTACTTCCGGTGTTGGAAGTTATCGAAGACTCCGATACGTCCAATATGATTCTTAGAATTATGTGCGAAGCGTGGCTCGATTATATCTATCTGCATCGAATTAAATTTAGGTAAATTGTAGTCTTGAATGCGTGTAATAATTATCATTAAATCTTAAGCTTTGAATTGATGTATCATAAGTGCCATTTTATGATACTTTTATGACATCGAGTCTTAGACTGTATATCAATCATTTAAAACAAACTTTCAGCGAATACGGGGCGCTGCAATTACTCACGGACTTTGCATACGTGTCGAAGTGGGTCTCGAATTGCTCGATCATTTCTCAAAACGTACGGAATCATTTGTTGAAGAACGAGGTACTTCGACGTTGCGAGGGAGTGGGTCGACTCCTTCTGCGACATCCTGGCGAGGCGATTTCGATGCGCAAACGATTGAGTACGAAACGAAATAGTAAAATGAGGAAGCGGCGAATTTCTCTCTGTCTAATTTTTCAGCGAGAACGAACGAACGAGGATCGCCGGAATCGCCAGGATTGGAACGTATGCCAGCGGAAATGTACGTTCCGAATCAGAAACAGTGGCTGGAACTTCGGGCCTCGAAAATGTACAATTTTTGTTGCACCAAATGATCAATTGAAGATATACGATATTCTTAACAAACGTAATGTTCAAAATTATCCAGACCTTATAGTAATTATATTATCCAATAAAAACGTTACAAACGAAGAATCTAAACTGATTTGTTAACCAATCGCAACTATGATACTTGTCATCAAATTCACGGATGCATCGCTAATGTTTTAATTACAATTCCTTATTAAATACCCACGTTTAGCCGTAATTGTCACAACGACGAACCGTGTTTAATTACAGCAGTGTATACAGGCCAATTCTACGTGCATATTGTTCCAAACAAAGCCGTGAATCTACGGGGCGAATTTATGCGCCTGCGGAGCTTGCCAAAGGGGAGGAAGCTCTATCTCGAACTGGTATTACGTTACACGTCCACGTTACAAGATAAAAAGACACACAATACGATGTAAAAGTCTGAACATGGAAGTCGAGTATTAAAACCCGTCCCTTCAGTCAACGACCAGACGTTCAAGATCGCGTTGCGTATTCTTGATCGACACTTTATCGTTCCCGGGAGAGATCGGTAGATCACAGTGTATCGTGTTTATCGCGACAAAGGTGCATGTCCGACGCAACAGTTCGCTTAATCTCATAATTATTAGCTAGCTAAAGTGTATAATCAAGGGTGAGTATCGAAAATTGATCGATCGATTTTTCACCGATCGTCGGCTCGTTTTTGATCATCGTCGGGTCGATTGCGGCGACGCAGTGCTATTGATCCACGATGCTCTTACCTGTACCAAGAGAGTCGAGACGATCCTTCACGATAGTCTTCACCTTCTCTGGCACTCTTCGGGGTAAAAAACCACGGCAAGGCGACTCGTGTTTCATTCCCGGCTGTTGATCCTCGATTCTATCTTATATAACCGCGAGCGTGCGTACATGCGTGATTGTGTGAAAAGTCCTCTCTACAACAAATATTTTTGATTTTTCTATAACTTGTTCAGCAGATCAATCCTGTGAATTCGAAATATTTATAATCTTAAATGGTATCGTCACGATAGTACTCGATTAATTATTATACAGGGTGTTTCATATGAATCGGGTGGGGTAGATGGTGATTTAACTCTAGGAACTTATTTATAAAATAAAAATACAAGGTTTAATATTAAATTTAAACTGTTTCGATGACCCATTTGTTTGAAATACCCTGGAGTAATAAAAATGATCATAAAAATTCTGTTGCTGTATTTTCGCTCTAGTGTCGAGGAGGGTCTATGGTCGAGGAGGGACCGGAAGTTTCATCCGATTCAGCTTGGTTTCCCGCGGTAAACCGAGTCGAATCGAGCCGCGGAACTCGGCCAGGCCGATGACAACGACATCCTCTCGGCGTGGACGTTATCCAGGCCAGTTCTGGTGTCGCCGATCGTCGACACGGTTCGACGGTCACTTCTTTCGTCGTTTCTTTTCGTAGCCAGTGAGATTTCGTCGTGCACCATGTACGGAAGTAGACGGGTCACCGAGAGGACCTCCCTCACGAGACCGTTGGATTCGCCGGATTACGTGGAGTTCGCGAGCCTCTTGAGGACCCGGAAGATCCGGATCAGACAATTTCAATGCTGTATCTGCGCCACTCTCATGTGAGTCGATGTATCATTTCCTTTATAATAATTTGTATAGCAATATAGATGTAAATTATCATCAAATTAATAAGAAAATATATTACATCGTGTCTTTTTAAGAAATTCATCAACTTGTTACATTACATTATACATACTTTCAATCTTATGGCGTAGAATATTACTGGTGCCAAGATGAGTAATTAAGGTATTTGTTTAGTGCAGATTGCGTTGTACACCTGCACGACGTCGATCTGCTGTTGTTCGACGGCATTAAGAATATGCGTCTGCTATTAATCGCGTTTATATAATTATACGAGAAGACGGCCTGTCTAGCGCAAGTGATGCAAGAGAAGCCTTTCTGAACAAATAACGAGGCACAAAGAGGCATGCGTAAAGGATTAAACGTGAAGCGTAAATGAAATTGCTTCAAATAAATGCTTTTTTTTGAAATTCATAGAGATTGCAACGAGCATGTTTTTCTAATTTTTATCAAATTTTTGCGATTAACACTTTAATCCTTAAATTACTATGAGGACATACGACCTCAGCCTCAAAAGATAGTGGTAAAAATGTACTAGTTTCAACATTTCAAATTCCTCGAATCCAATTAAGCGTAATTAAATATTAAAAACTTTCTTTCGAAGCGGAAAATATATTCTTTGCGAAAGTTGCGTGGGAGAACGCGATACCAAGGTGCACGGGCACAACTATCGCGCAGGATCTAGCCGTAAAAATCACAGTGCATCCAATCCCCACCGTAAGTGGATACTTACGTAAAATCGTCGCTCACCTCGACCACCGATCGACCGGTGGATCGTTTCAGTGAGGTCTAAGCTCGATTCACGAGCGATCAACGATGTCTGCATCAGAAAAGACCTCGTTGACCGGCGAAAAATCGGGTAGGGTGTATTACGTGCAACGAGACACGCTGCCATTTTATTCTATCCAAAGGAGACAGCGATTGCGGCTACGATGTCTCTCGTACACGATCTTGATGTGAGTTTCTATCGTCTTTGCTTTCATCCGGATACGGTTGATCGAGAAATCGTTAAAATTTCCTTTTTAATTTTCTACCCTTTCTAAAATCGAAAGCTTATTCGCGCACTTTCTTTCATTATTTGTTACATTATATAAAACTTAAATCATTTATGCTATGCATATCGTAAAATGTAAAGGGTACCCACCCGTTTATACTAAATAAATAAATAAATTTTGAAAAATTTTTTAACAGAGAATTACCGTCACTTAAAATTTCGCAATATCTTGCTGCTCGTTTTTGGTCTCATCGGACAAAGTAAGGATATCTTTGAGGCGTATCGAAATTATTGCGTGAAACGGGATCGCGGATCCGTGTGCAATAACGAGATCTCTCGCGGTTTCTCTGTTGCGGTTTACTCTGACCGCTACTTGAACGTATTCCCAACACACGAGGAATCTCGTGCAGGGATTTGCACGGGGCGATCAGTAGAAATCGTGTCTTTTTCAAGAATACTACTCCTGGTAAACGCGAACATGGAGCGAGATAGGAGGTCGTACGAGGGGTTTAACTCGCCCGAACGGTGTTTCTAGCGTCGACTGACGGGTATTAGGAACAACAGTCGCGTCTTTATTGCATTTGCAGGGTTAAAATGTCGCGTAATTCGTTTACAAACAGCCGTAGAGAACTGGTCGTTTAGCGCGTAGGCTGATTACGTGACGGTGGCCTTGATTACACGCGTAATTGTACGGTGACAGTGTGGTTGCTCAACGTTACGACGGCTCGACAAGGCTCCTCCGAGGCATCGCAATACCATCTTCGTGCTGTTCGAACAAACCGATACTGGAAATTGAAATAATTTCGATCCAGTCATTGAACGATGCTGAATTCGGCTAACCCTAGGAGAGTCAATCACATTCGAGAGTTAAAAGAGAAATTGAATCAGTATGAATACTGATTGACCTTGAATAGATAAGATTTTCAAATTTCTATAGTCCCGTTGGATAACCATCCTAATTAATTAAATAAAATTTATTATTCCAGAGCGGTGTTCACGATGGCCCTAATAGTGACAGTCAGTTACTCGGTGAGCCACAACATCCTAGACGCAAACCTCACAGCCCCAGGTTCCCAGGCTGCGTACAATCTTACCGGTTCCTTGAAGTTAGGCTTCGCACCTGGATCAGGCTCGTACACCCTCTTCAGCAACCCGTCGATCGTCTCAGCCTCGAATTCGATCCCCATCCCCAGCAGGAGGGCGGAAACCTCTCCGCCGGCGAAGTTGTCCGAAGGGGAGTTCAACGAAGCGTTGGAAGCAGGTCGCCGAGCGATGAACGAGCGTTTGTTCGCTGACGCCACTGCGGCCATGTCACCGTTGCCTTCCCCGTCGCCGGAATCGAGGCATCGTTACGCCGTGAGCACGTGCGCGAGCGTCGGGACGCTGGCTCTGGCAGCCGTGGCCGAACTCGCGGCTACCAAGATGATCGAGAACTCCAGAGCGATGCAGGCAGCGCCAACCGCCGTCGGGACCTTCTTCGACGGAGGCTGGCTGTCTCTGGGTGTTTGCAAACAACTTAGGATCCCGAATTGTAATCCGAGCAAGTACAGAACGTTCGACGGAACCTGCAACCGACCCAACCAATGGGGAGTCTCTATGACGCCGTTCAGAAGACTCTTACCGCCAAATTATGCAGATGGGGTAGACGCTCCGCGTAGGGCGCTCTCTGGTGCAGAGCTTCCGTCAGCCAGAGAGGTTAGCCTAAAAGTGCACAAACCATCGCCCAGCAGCAATCCAGAGTTCACGGTGATGCTCGCCGTTTACGGACAATTCTTGGACCACGACATCACCGCGACAGCGATCAGTCAAGGTATCAACGGTACCTCCATCTCCTGTTGTCCACCGGCCGTCGGTCATCCAGAGTGTTTCCCCGTTCCCGTGGCCGCCGGCGATCCCGTGTTCGACGTCACCGGGAGAACCTGCATGGACTTCGTGAGATCCGCACCTGCGCCCCAGTGCAAGCTCGGTCCCAGGCAGCAGTTGAATCAGGTATCTTCGATGATCCGATTCATTTTCTTTTTAATCGAGTTTAAAATAGCCGGATAATTCGTCCGGGTAATCGAGTTAATCCGAACGAAACGAGACTGCGAAATTGCCATCGCGACGAACGAAAAGTTTGCGCGTGCAATATGCGAGCTTAATTAACTTCGTTATCGTGTCAATGAGGCGTGCTTCGATCGTAACGAGGCGTTCGTTATCGCGGCAATAACGATTGCGCACAATGAGCAGAAAATTGCGTTGATAAATAGGGATGCTGTAGGAAAAAATTGTAGAAAAAAAAGCAGAGGATCCACTGCTTTATCCATTAGATAATCAGAATCCGTTGACATCTTTACTTTCAGTGTTCTAATAATTTTCTTTCCCACAGGTGACCGCGTTCATCGACGGTTCCGCTGTTTATGGATCAGACGTAAATACAGCGAGGGGTCTACGAGAATTTTCCGGCGGTCGTCTGAGGATGCAGATAACGCCTGACAACAGAACTCTCTTACCTGCCAGCATGAATCCCAACGACGGTTGCAACAGGGAAGTCGAGAGACTTCGAGGGAGGTATTGTTTCGCGGCAGGTGACGCCAGAGCTAACGAGAACCTGCACCTGACGACGATGCATCTCCTCTGGGCGAGACAGCACAATAGGATCGCTAATCAATTGGCGAAGATCA